ACTGGATTGGTGGGAGGAGAACTGTGTCCCTGGTCATGATGCGGTAACTTTTGTCTTCACCCCTTCCCAGCATTGGTGCAAAAGGACTGTGACAGACGATAACAAGGTTCTCTGGGGCAGCTGGTCTGTCCTGGGACCTTGGAATAGGTTTTTCTTTGCAGGAGATACTGGATATTGTTTTGCTTTTGAACAAATAGGTAAAAGGTTTGGACCTTTCGATCTTGCAGCCATCCCCATTGGAGCTTATGAGCCAAGGTAGGAAAATCAGAGTTTGAACGAAATATGTAAATGAAATTATATACTGATTACAAAAAATTACACCCGAAGTTAAAATTGTGCACTTCGTTAAAAAGTATGTGTATGTGTGATGTTTTTGGAGAGTGTTTTTCTTCAGACTTAGGGACAGCAAGGATGAATCAGCACTCTTTCTTCCCTTAAAAATGTTGAGTAAAAATCTGGAATTAGTCTGGTTTTTTTTCTGAAACAGCATCATTTAATCCAGCCCAGTCCAGTGTATATCTCTTGCTGCATTTTTCTCTTGCTTCAGTCTTTATCGTGGTTTTGCAACTTACCTGGAGACAAAGAGGACTTAGTTATAGAGTATGAAAGATCTGTTTTCTCAGGAGAGCAAACTTTTCTCATTTTGGAGAAAATGTTTAAATGATAGTACTCATATAACACTGGAAGGAAGGCACTTATGAGCTGGGAAAAAGAGATGGAAATCCGAATAGCATGGTAAAGTTTTAGTATCTTTCAAGAATTTCCAAGTTCTTCTGTTTTGCATGTTCCCTTGGGCTATCTCTGAAGCACACTTTTTTGGTGTGTACTGCTAGCACAAAAATTTTTCAGAGATGGATTTAAGGTTTTGGCTTTAATGCCTTAAGGCACTGGTAATATGTCCTTAACCTATTGAAAACAAAGATAAGAAAAAATCCTTCAAAAAGAGAGTACAGTAAATGAGCTGCTGTTTGAAGGGTATGTTGGTATATGTTAGTTTCCTGATCTGTGTTCTGTATGTTGTCCAGTATCTGTATGTTGTGCACGCTTACGATTTTTTTGATTAGGTGAGCATATATTTCTTTTTGTTCTTTGCAATGGAAGTAAGGGAGAAATCTTGCACTGAATTAGGTGACACAAAAAAAGTGGTTCTTTGTTCTGGTAGGTGGTTTATGAAATACCAGCATGTGGATCCTGAAGAAGCAGTAAGAATCCATATTGATGTTCAAGCAAAGAAGTCTGTAGCAATTCACTGGGGGACCTTTGCTTTAGCAAATGAGGTAAATTGCAACACTAAACATGAGTTCAGATTTCCAAGGACTAGACAGTCATTAGTGAAGCTTTCCTTGTGCAATTTAACCTACATATCTGTAAATGTAAACTTAAAATGTGAACTTTGTATGAGTGAAAAGTTCTCTATATACTGCTATTCATAACCAATTACATAAAATATTTCCATAATTAAGAAAGTACAGAGTTATTGAAGCAAATGTGGAGGATTTCTGATATCCAGGTGCTGAGGAACAAAACAGATAAGGACACATGCAGTATTATGCAGTGTTATGCATTACCTTATGCAGTAATAAAAACAAACTGAGTGGTGTATCACTTGGAGATAGTAAGAACTGCATGCCTGTACCTCAATACAGTATTTCTTAATTATGTCTATCTAGTAAATATATAAACAGTATTTTTAATAGTTGATTCAAAGTTAAAACCAGAATGTATATGAAAAAAATTGAGTTATTCTGAGTGTTTGAGGTTTTTTTTTAATGTTTTATTCCCCTCTATGCCCCCCCCCCCTCCAAGTCCACGATCCCATTAGTCCAAGATCTAACAACAAGGTTATTCAGATACCTTCACAGCAACTAAAAATGCAGTGAATAGGAAGTCACTACATTTGCTTTGATATTGTCTGGTAGCTGTTTTTCAACTTTGTTTTTGCATTAGTTGCACCACTTTATCGCCTAATTCATTCCTGATAGTGTCATCACCTGATCTGTCAAATGTTCTGTCCCGTCTAGGCTCCCTCCCTGCTCATCCTGCGCCTCCGTGGCAGAGCATGGAGGGAACATAGGGCGCTTGGATAAAACATTTCCCGTCCCCAGAGTATCCAATAAATTGTGTTACTAGTGCCTGCGGCACAAATGTTACTGTGTATTTAGGAGCACAAAAATAGATTACTGCTGCTTGACGATGTCTTTGGGAAATGTAACAAAGACACCGCGGTAACTTGAAGGGGCCGCACTGCCGGAGCCGTGTTCGGACAGGAGCGCTGACAGTGTGGGTTTGCAGAGCGAAGAAAGCGCCAGCTGCTGGCGGCCAGCGCTTCCTCCGAAGGGATCTATTGCTGCCTTGAAGGCGACCGAGTTCGGGCTGACGGGTTGAGCCTTGCTAGTTACTCTGCAGCTGTAAATCAGCGTTCTTATCGTTCAAAAACTTAAAATGAACCCAAACATTTTAATTTAGTAATAAATACCCTTCTCCTCCCCCCGTTTTTTAGAGAAGTGCTTTTCTTTTCCCCTAAAAAATGTTGCAGTGGTAACTTTCCCCTCATATTATTCTCATTTTTTTCAGTATTACTTGGATCCTCCAGTTAAATTGAATGAAGCTCTGGAAAGATATGGCTTGAAAAAGGATGACTTCTTTCTCTTACGTCATGGAGAATCACGGAATTTGAATACAAATGACCGTTTTGAAAACTGAAACAGTGTCAGTTCCTTGTAAGACCTGTTTGATTTGAACTAGCAATTAATGTTACGTACTAACATAATGTATGTACACAGTAGATTTTTTTAGATTGAATTGGATTTCTAAATGCCAGGTTTGTCAGTTTCAGAAATAAATCTTGCATACCAATTTCATGACAAATTTTACTAGTTATATGGTTTATAAATTTAGAGAGGTGATCTAAAAGTGGTTTATATATAAGTGTTGTCTGGGAATAACATGCTCTGATGTACACCACTGAAAAAAAAAAGTTATTTTTAAACTCTTCTTACCTGCAGCAGCAATAATACCTTCAGCACAGAACATATTCTTAGGATTAATGGCTGACTTAAATTATTCATTGTTAGACTGTCATCTCCTACTTGTTAGTCTTCAGGTTATGCCCTGTACTTAGATAGCGTCATTGTATGTTTTGTGGGGTGAAGTCTTCCAATACAGCTGTGTTGTTAAAGCACAAGCATGGTAAAATTGTTTCACTCTTCATATTCATATATTAATGAACCACAAAAGTTGAATTTTACATCAAAGAAAATGTGCCTTTTAAAGAGAGATAATTTAATAATGCATCATGGATGTGTAAAACTAACTGCTGGCCAGAGTATCTGCACACTTCTATTGTTTTGTCTGTTTTTAAGTTAGGTTTGAATGTGTCAATTGTAGCACATGAAGTGGAAAAATATCTTAATGTCACTTGTCCTTGTATTAACTCAGCCTTTTTCTAAGTACCCTTCTTTTTTTTTTTTCTTTTTTTTTTTTTTTTCCAGTAGAAAGTCTTAAGCAAGGGCTGTGGTATTTTTTCTAATAGCTTCCCTATAATTTTCAAGCTGAATGAGAGATTACAGCATTGTTCAGTGTTATAAAACTTGGCCAAATGTATCTGTATCAAATTGTCTTGCTAATTTACAGAATTAAAGCCTACTGTTGCCAAAAAAAAGGATTGTTATTCTCCTTCATCATTTCATTGGCAAATCATGTTTTGTTTATGATTTCTTTGGTCGGTAGGATATGTGGGTTGGTTTGAGGTGGTTTTTTTTCTGCTCTTGCTGTTCATTTTATTTTCATATTCCATAAAGATAAATATATATAAAAAAAGATACATTATTTAAAGGCATTATCTTCTGGCGACTAACCAAAACCAGTTAATGAGATTTCATGGTAGGAACAACTGAGGTAATCTTTTAACTGTAGACAGTTATCAAAAGTGGTTTAAAACTACCCTGTGATTCAGTGTAGAGGGTCTTTCAGGTGAAGTCCCTTGTATTTTCACAACAGCTTCAATTACAACTTGGGTGATACAATGTATATTACCTATATGTAATTTTGTGGAGGACGCCAAGCTGCAAGGAGTTTTGAGTACTTTGAAGGACAAGTTTAATGAGGTTGATTTTGTTGTGGGTTGTTTTCTTTTCCTGTTTTAATCATCGTCAATAGGTTATTCTGTAAAATTATATACTTTAGAAAGAGTGAAACTAAAACACAGAATACCTAGATAAGCAGTCACAGAGCAGAGAAATACTGGCTTACATGGATCAGAAATTCAATGTCAGTAATGACATGTTTTGTTTTCGATCTGTTAATTCACAACATTTGTACCTAGAATGGTGACCGTTATGTTTTGCTTGGTGCTGATAAGATTCCACCAAGGGTGTGGGGTAAGTGATAAAAAAATGAGACATCTTTGCATAAAAGTACATTGGAAAGTTTTGCATGATTTCAAAACATCTCAAGAGCTCTGTGAAGAAAGCATTTAAAAATAGTTCTTTCTAGACCAGAAAAAGAAAACTGAGACAATACTGTAGCAAGTTCTCATGTATTTTTAGAAAAGGTCACTTGTTTCTGTCAGCTGTCAAAGCAACAGATAAGAGGTCAACTCTATCAAAAAGATGATATTTGAAAAACTTATTTTTAGGTTGGAGAACACAGAAAGTGACATCTAGATATCTCTGTTGATCTTAAGAAACCATGTATCAGCTATACCTAGAACAAATTGGTCCTAGTGTCTTGCCAGGAGAGTAGTTAAATTATTAGTGTCTGGCCTAATCTTTATTTTTTTTAGTCAAATTCAGTAGCAGAAAATATTAAATCTACAAAAAGTTGCAAAACATTAAGTGAGTGTAATGTAACTTGCTTATTACAAACTGTACAGTGTTTTAGGAGCAGTGGGAAGGTGAAAAGGAAGTTCACTGTCAATGCAGCAATTGTCAAGTTTCTGCTGGGAATCATGCCAACTTCTATTTCTGCTTTACTGTATTCCTGGTGAGTTAAAACTACCTATGTGGATAAATTAGATACATGTAGCTGTATCTAATACCCCTGTATTGATCCAGGGCATGGGTGTGTCACAGTTTCAAGGTCATATTTTTCTTGCAGTTTTAGCTATTTGCAAAGTGACCTTCTGAAAATAAGTATCTATGGCATTACAGAAGGAGAAGATAGTAATGTTTTCTGAAGAGCAGAGTGAGTTTACTAAATAAGAAAGATGAAGCACTTGGAAATAGTTTAGGTGATACAGTTCTCTTAAAAATGAAACAAAGTGGAAAACTTTCCTAGCCTTTACATCTGATACCTTTTTTAGTTTTTCTGTAGTGGAAGTTTTCAGTTGTCTGGTTTTCAAGGTATTTTCCAGTATGTTTTCTGTTCATCAGTGAAACTCTGTTCAGGTTCTTTTACAGTGATGTTTGTATGGATTCCACTTCATTTTGAATTAGTGCTGGATTGATGACTAAAACTTTATGGGGACTAATTCTGCAGAAGCACTCATTCTAATGATGTTCCAGTTGCAGAAAAAAAAAAAAAAGGAGGAGTAAAGATCTTCAAGGAAAGGAAACACAAGGGCTGCTACAGAATTAGAAGCTTTTTTAAAAATGTGTATGATACTGCTCTTGTAGAATTTTTTTTTTATAATGAGAATGCTAAATTGTAGTTGCAGATAATCCTTGACTCCTAATAAAATATTTTTAAAAATATATCTGCTTTCCCTTAAGTGACAATTTTAAAGCAATATAAAATGCTATCAATTTTTGTTCAAGTGTACGAACTTTTCACAGTTGTGATTAACTGCACTGTAGTTTAGCTAAATGGAATAGATATACTAAGCATACAAGAATGAAGTTTTAGAATAAATTCCTTGCAGGAAAGATGAAAAAACCTAGGTTTGGTGACTTAAGTATGCAGCTTTCATTGAAGATACAAATTCTGTAGGAAGCCAATGATAGTTTGGTATTGTTCTTTATTTAATATTATTTTGTAAGATTTGGCTGTACCTTTTCATAGACTAATAAAATATAAATGCCTAATCTCTAATTGCTATATCTTTAATGCACGCTTCTAAAGAGGTATTTCTTCAACAACTGTAATTGATATTTGATATTGCCAAGGATATATACATTCACTTCACTCATCCATTCAAAATGTTCATTTTACATATGAATGTTTTCATGTTTTAAACTGTTTGTCCCCATTGCATAAATGTAGCAACCGTGCAGTGGTTTATCGGTAATAATTAAGCTATTGCTTTTCTCCTGCTTGTAAAAAAAAATCTGTATTAAATACACTGCATTCTCTTTTGTAGTAACTCATTTGTGCCTATTAAAATGATAGTATTTAGGTTTGTTTTTTTTTCCTCTGTTGCATTGTTTACTTGTTGCATGCTTTTTTACATAGCATTGCCAAGATTAGATATTTTCACCAGGTCATTCTGTTTTAAGAAAACAACACTATTGCATTAATATTCTCACAACTTGTTCTTTCACTTCTGTATCAGGGTGATGCAGCAAAGATGCCAGTCTCTGAGCAAATGGGGCAGAGTCCCTGCAGAGTGTGAAGAAAATTGAGTCTTCACTGTATTCCTCAATGATGGTGCCTTCTTCATCATTCATGTTCTTTTTCAAGTTTGCTGTAAATGCCAGGGCTCGAACTAGAATCTCTCTGTTTATATAGTTGTCAAAAAGTAACAACATTGATGGCACCTAGGATATTGAAGAAATATTCCACACTTAATCACCAGCAGTAAGTATGTGTAACTAAATCAAATCTCAAAAAATGGAAAAAAAATGTGTACCTAAACCAGAAATTTTATGAAATCACAGGACTTTGTATGCTGTGAACTCCTGTCAGAAATTTGTACACTGTGCAAATGTTCTCTCTAGAAAAGACTGGCCTGTGAATCAATGGACTAATAACTGCTTTGTATTTTCAATCTCCAAAATGTGGCTGTCTGGAAAACTCCCATGTGGAAGAGAAGGTCTGCTTCTCAGCCACATAGATTTTTGTCCTGAATGTTTTTGTAGCATATCTGATAAATGAAAAAATAATACACTTAACAGAGAACTGAATATTTAGCTACCTGAAATTTGTTTGAATAATGAAAAGACAGCATTATCTAGACTAGCTTTGCTCATGGCAGCTCACAAATACAACCCATTGTATGTTTTAAGAAAGTTACTTTGGGGAGAGAGATGAGGGTGCAGCACCATTCCAGCCCCAACTGTTTTGGTGTGAGGAAATGAAACTGAAAGAAACCTATGTGCCAAGGCCAGCACAGCAAATGTCACACAAATTTCTCCATGAAGAAATAAGTAAATGCACAGGGAAAGTTCACTTAGAGGCAACAGTTTTATGTCTGCATTTGAATAAAGGGGTGGGGATTCCAGTGGAATTGGGCTGGGTTTGGTCCAGTACATTGGCTATAGAAACAGAAGTTGAGAAGGATCACTTACAGTATTGGTTCTATTTAATGGTTTTCAATCTATATAATGACTGTGTGTCTGGAAATGGAAGGTTAGAACAGGCTTCTGCAAGTTATCATTGATTATTTGGAATGGTACACAAGAAGTACAACCAACTATCTCCAAGTGCACAGGCCCTGTGCCTCTCCCTTTGTAAACATGGTATCTGTACTACACTACTCTCTGGAATAAAGCCAGCCCATGAAAGAATGTGCAGTTAGGTACCAATTTTAACCAAACAATGTCTAGAATTTGTTCTGGAATTGCATATGGATTTCTAACACACTATAATTCTTCTAGTGCATGCAATATCTAAATTGGTACACATGTATATATGCTAAAAATAAAACGAAGCAGCAAGAACCTTACTTGAGCTCTGAGAAGATGTCTTGTCATGGCTGGGTTTGCAGATAAGTTCACAAGTACTTTCAAAACATGAATCTGAAGTGAGGAATTTACAAGTTCATTAAAAGATCCAAAACAGTAAGTACAGCTGTAATGGGCATCAATAATGTCAAAGTTGACTTGGGGAGGAAGAGGTAGAATGGGTTAGTTAATGTCTTGAGTATTTTGGTATAGAGGAAACTAAGGTATGGACATGTTAGAAGCAAATTCAGATTGACTTAAACATCAAAATAAGGCAAGACCCATAAATAAATCTCAGTGGGCAAAATGCAGAGTATTTTTAAAATACAAAGAAGACGGTAAAGGACTAAATTTAAAATTATCTGAAGCATATTCAAATACATCTTTGTGCTTTCTTGTGATGCTAGTCTTTAAACACTAGGAAAAGGCCATATTACTTCATATACTTAAGTACAATAGGTGTTGTTATGTCTAGTGGAAATGTGTGTTTTGGAAAACTGGTTTTGATCTGATAGAGCAACCACATACACTGATGGTACCACAGCATCTTGAATGAAAGCAGTAGTTTGGTCCCTGACTGAAGCTTGTTTCAGTATTACAATAATTCACAAATAAGCATGATTTCCAGTTGCAGTCACTAAGGTTGCCAGAGGTGTCATAAGGTGTATAAGGGAACAAAAGTCCATAACAGAATCACTGCTTGGCTAGTTTTCCAACAGAGATTCATACATCAGTGAAGCCTTCCCATGCAGGCTCTCCTTGCTCTGTGATGCAGCAGGAATGACTCAAGCAGAAGAGAATTCTGGAGTTGCTATGGCAAAGGCACAGGGCAATCACAGTGCACCCTGCACTGCTTTGCTAGGGCTACAGTCTGATGGTTCCACTACCAAGAATCCGTTCCCTCACCCCTTTTTGAATTTATATTGTGAAGCTAATACAGATCTATATTTTAGTGCATAAAATCTGTATCATTAATGAATATTTGGTTTTTTCTTAGCAAAATCTAAACCATTTTACCAAGATGGTAAGAAATAGGGCAAGTAAAGTAGCTTCATAAATAACACTACCCAGTACCTGTGTCCTTTCAGTTCCTTCTGAAAGCAAATGAAGAAAGCATGGAATTGAATTTATCATCTTTTGGTGGTAGTCACTGGTAACAGACATATTTGTCAACAGCCTGAGTCCAGCTAGCTGCACATCAGAGTTCAGGGGAGCTGACTCAACAGTCCTACAAACTTGTGCAATAAATACCTGGGGAAAGGGGAGAGAACAGTTTTTGATAAAAGCATATTTTCTGTCACACATAATATCAATGGCCTAGCTACAGTTACATAAATTCTTGCTAAACATTGCTGGCTGAATGGTGAAGGTTCTTGGAAACAAGTACTTTTTTGTTTTGACTATTTCAAACATTCTAGAGGTAGGACTGAAGCAGACCACACAGCATTATGCTCTCTAGTCTTCCTGAAACATAACTTGCTCTGAAACTTGAATTGCTTTGGCTCCATCTCAGAAGTGACTCTCAGAAACTCAGAAGTTGTTTTAAAAATCACTTATAAGTAACTAACATCTTAAATATTGAGAACAAGCTAAGGACAAGCTTTGAAATTAAATTCCTTCTCCCAACAATGTGGCCCATTTACTGGAGTATACTGTAGGAACAGCAATGACAACTGACATTAAACTACTATCTTTACCAATTTTTCTTCTGGATGGCAGTATGCAATGAATCTTGGAGTCCTAACAGAAAAAAAAAATAATTTTCCCTTGCCAAAGGAGTTATTTTCTACTTATACATGTAGACAAATATTGGCAAGCACTACTTAATAAAAACTGCCTTTTGCTAAAGATGCTGCAAACTACCACATACAGTCACTACTATTTTATCAAGCTATTGAAACAAACTACTAAAAGTCTTCAAATCTGCCTCAGCTCACCACTTGGACTTGATCTATTAATTAATCAGATTTCTTTTTTCTCGATGTTTAGTCTTGTCATATCCATAGCATGTACTGTATTTACCAGTGGAACTTGTTACAATTTATGCACATTTTTCTTTCAAGATGGAGTTATCACCTTAAAAATTGGTCTCATACAAACCTGGGGGCTCAATTACTCTCCTCCCTCAACTAAGGAGTCAATCTGCAATCCATTCTGTTAAACAGCCACTGGTGATGTTCTAGGCAGGTTTGCAAATCATCTTACCTCACATAATTTTGCTACAATGTTAGCAGCACAATCACTGTTTAACAGTATATTGTGAAAGCTGAACACAATCTGCATAAGTTCCTGTGTTTTATTTTAAAAGTAAATGCCAATGAAGCAATGCATTCTAAAGTTATCCTTTCAGTCATCCAGATCTGCTGACTTGTATGTCTATTATCAAAGCATTTTGGCATCCTGGCTTGTATTTAACAAATATGCTGAAGGAACTGTACTACCTCTTTGCCTCAGTTACTTCAGTTTTTCCCATTAAGAATCTTACCTGTATCTCTTCCTGATTTTTAATATTCATACTCAAATTGTTAAGTGCATTTAGCACTTTTTCTTTAACTTTGGGAGCGCAGTTGGAAAGCATCCCTCCAATAACAGAAAGACCATCCAAATTTCGGATTATATCCTGAAATACACAAGATATTTAATAGGATTTTTAAAATTCAATTTAAATGCTGAAGCATTCCCTCAAAGTCTCTATACTGACAAAAATGAAGTTTGTGAATGAAAAATTCTAGGGCTGACTGCTCTGTGTAAAGAGAGTATTAACAGATACTGCTTTATTGCTTGTTCTGAAACTAAGAAGGGTCTTGTTTAGGAACAAAAAGTATTACTGTTATTTGACAGTAGCACATCAGCAAAGGATGCTTAAAGCATTTTAGATTATAAAGAATAAAAGGAGATTAATGGATAATGAATTTATAGAACAACTTAGCCAGATCACAGTCCCTAAAATACTGCCTGAATAGGCCAGAATTTCAAGGTGCAGCTTCATATTTTTATAGTAAATGTTCTGAAACTTTTTCCATTACTCTTGTTTTTATTACTGTTTTAATCGTTCTCACTTGACTGTCACTGTCGGGCTTTGGGTTCCAGTTGCATTCTGTTCTATGAGATATATATTAAGAAAGATATATACTTTGAGAAGCCGGAATAGACGGCTGTCATAAGTAGCAAAAAAGGTGGGACCTTGGAGGTTGAACTGTTAAAAAGGCATGAAAATCAGCATCCAGCTCCAAGTTTTTGCGCATTCTATGTCCAAAGGATTTGGAGATACTTCTATAGTTGTAAAATTGCTAATGTGCAAACAGCACACAACTTTGTGAGGGATAAAAAATATAGTTTATCTCATAAAATTTTAGATCTGAACCAGAAAGGATTTAACCTAGTATTCAGCCCTTTCATTAACATTACATAATTGTAAGCAACAAAAGATATATTTACAGTACTTTGGAAGTACTGTACGGACTCTGTACGGACTTTAAGTGGTCCAAACATTATTATTCAATAAATTCTGTGAAACTGGCGAATTATATTATTTGGGCCAGCAGAAATTAAGGCAAGACATTAAATGGATTTTAGAGCACAAGGTATCCTAGCTTCATTCCTGTGTCACTCTAGCAAAACATCAGCTCTCCTCTGCCAGACTGGCTGGCATTGGATATTGTTGTTTTCTACAGAACAATACTCACTTGATTTACAGAGAAGGCAGCACTGTTGCTGAGAGTGATTAAAGCTTGCTCTTGAATTAATGGATCATCTGTGGCCTGGAGCAAATGAATAAGTTTCTGTAGAACATCCACATCCATGGTATGGGTTGACACTGGAGGACTGCTATCTGTTAATGTTTAGAAATTAAATTTGTGATACTAAGTTTGAGACATTTCAGTTAGGTTGCTACTTAGTGTTTTTTACAAAGCTGAAATTTGACTCTCAGTTGTAGGACACATTGTTCTAAGGTTGTGCCCAACCATCATGTCATGGTAAAAAGACTGTGTTTTATGACACTAAGATTTCCATCTTTTTCCTGAGTCCTCCAATTACCTCTTTTGAAGGTGGAGAATAAAAGGAACACACAATTAGAGGCTGAGGTGTGTTACTTCCTGGTTAACCAATAGCAAATTTCCTTGGCAAAATTGTAGGAATATTCACAGATTTGGGGAATATTCACAAAATACTGGTTAGGGGGTTTTTTTTGTGTCCCTGAAATGAAATGTGGAAATCTGTCTTGGAACTGTAGGAAACAAAACTTTCAGTTTACAGACTACTACTTCCAGAAATTATAATAATCACACTTTGCTAGTATGCTGAGGTCCTTTGACAAAGTAACAGCCACAATGTTAGGCACACTGCTGATCATGGCATTACTCAAAACGGAGGAAGGCTGCTCCTGAGTAAGGATGATGTAATGGAGTACCTGGCCTTTATAAAATGGCAACAAATGTCATCAAAGGCTATTTTCAGCCAGGTTGGAAGCAGAACTATTTATTCAGCTGAGGAGCTGTGAGACCCGATCTATGACTGTTGGACTAGTCAGAGCTTACTTGAGATGACTCCCGAAAAGCTACCAGTGCTTTAAATTCCACAGCTTTACTTCCAACATCTGACCAGGTAAACACCACAGTATTCTTTCGGGGTAAAAAAAACCAAACCAAACCAAAAACAACGAAAAAACAACCCAAAAAAACCCCAAAAACCAAAAAACCCCAAAGAGACCAAAGTTAATTATGATGATCCAAGAGCTCACTTCAAAAACAAAATCGTTTTTCATCCTCGTCTAAACATTTCAGTTTAGCTTTGTATTATAGGGGAAACACAAATAACTGCAATAACATAAGTAAACACACTGGCCGGACGTACGCTTTGGAGGATTTCAAAAGAAAAAGAAAAAAAAGAAATTGGTTTTTCTAAAAATCATGCTCCAGAGCGCTCCAAATGGCTTCATGGCCTGGAGGGCCGGTACGCAGAACTGTGGCACCGCCTCTCGCAGGGCGCAGAGCCGCCTCCGGGCCCCGAACCGCTCTACAGGGCCGCGGGCTGGGAACGCCGCGGGCTCGGAATCCCCCGGGCCCCGCAGAGCCTCCCCTGGCCCCGCCGCACACCGGAGGGGCGAGGTCCGGCCCGCCCTGCCTCTCACCTGCCGGCGGGCCCCGCGCGGCCGCTGCTCGCCGGCCCCGCCGCCCGCCTGCCGCCGCCAGCCGCCACAGGCAGTAGCAGGCGCCGGCCCCGAGCAGCAGGGCCGCCGCCGCCGCCCTCAGCGCCGCGCCCCGCGGCTCCCACATCGCCCCGGCCGAGGCTGCGTCTCCCGCGGAAGCCACCGCCCCATCCGGCGCGGCTCGGCGGCGGCTCTGCCCTACCCTCGGGCGCCGGGCGCGGGTGCTGTGCCCGAGGTGCTGCAGGGATGCCGAGCCCACAGCTCCGTGTGCCGCTGTGTGACAAGGCTGCGATGCGTTTCTGTTTTACAGGAAGGAATCACCCGCGCTCCCGGGCCGGCCCGGTCCCGCAGCGCGTTCCGAAACAGGCTTCCCGCTCGGGGAGCCGGCCCGCTGGCAGCAAGGGCGGTCCCGAGCCATGGCAGCCGCTGGAGAGGGCACATCATCCCCAAAGTGGGTGACCGCCGTCTCCGCCGCCTCTGGCCCCCCGTCACCCGCTGGGTGTTCAGGCGGTCGGCAGCCTGGTCCCACAGGAGCCGGTGGGACCACAAACTGCCCCGGTAACATCTGTGGAAGGGAGCCATTCCACCCGCCCGCACGAAGGGCCCCCCTCGGCCCTCAGCAGAGCCCTGGTCCCGGCTCGTTGTACCCCTCAGCGCTGGCCGGGGCATCTCATACCCTTCCCACTGCTCTCTGCTCGCCTGGGGCATGATTTTGTTCTGCTCGTTTTGTCACTGTTGCACGTTTTTCATACTTCAAAAGATTTATGAAAACTTTAAGAATGTAAACAAGATGAAACAAAGGAATTCTGCATTATAATCTATGTTAAAATGAAGACGAACCCGGTGAACTGCACTGGCACCTTCCCTGATACGTTTAACTTCTTTAGTGTTAATTACAGAAAAGCCTCTAGATTCCAGCCGGGTAATTCCTTCCTCATGAGTGCAGTGGGTGCAATCCATGTTTTCTAATGGTGTGTCTGTCATAAAGATGACACTGGATCATGCTTCAGATACTGGTGGATTAGGTATTCTTGTTGGCACAGAAGTAAATAGACTTTCATAAAATGTCAGAGAGTAAGAGTGGCGCAGCGTGAAGGACTGTAGGGGAAATAGGGTTGGTAGGTGTCTTAGTTTAGGGCAAATTAGGAAGGAAAACTCCAAATGGGGATTTCCCCAGGGAAATGCCCCTCCCCACTAACTGGTCCGGGAAAAGAAAAAAAATTCCTTAGAGAGAAGTGGAAAAAGCTGTTTATTTAACAGAAATTGAGTAATATTAAATAATAAAACCTCTTGCTGTTCGATGGGATGGCAAGTCTAGGAAGAAAAGTCCTTTTCATGTGGTGTAGCTCGGCTCACTCAGGTTCTTATCAGTCCCTCCGGCGCTGGAAAGTGCCGAGGCCCAGGCCCCGGTGGGCCACAGGCGTGAGCTCCCGGGGTTTGGCTGGGTGTTCAGTCCAGAGCAGGCTTGCACAGATCCAAGAAAATTGGGAAAAAAACAAACAAAGGTCTAGGGAACTCCTCTGCCTCAGCTAGCTAAAACTAACTAAAATCCAGAGAGAAGCTCTGTCCCGCTGTCTGTCCGTGCTGCAGACACCACAGTCCAGGAGCGGGATGTGTGGGAGTGATGTTTTTCCTTAACACAAACTGCGCGCTTCTTCTTCCCCCTCTCTTGCTCTCAAAGCCAGTCTTAAAGGTGCAGAACTTAATATATAACATAAACCAGACGATTGGGGATACCAGTATCATAAAGTCACCCCAGGACAGTAGGTTTGTCCTTAGAATTTGTGAGGTGATTCTCTGTGTTTCTGTATTTCCCTCCCTCTTTGTCATGCTCACCTCTGCTTGTTACCAAATCTGCAGCAGCTGTTTTTCAGTTTCCTTCAAACAAAAAAAGGTAAAATGTACAAATGCAAGTTTAAGAAATACCCTGATATATTTAATCTGCCAAAATAGACTCCATTTGCAATCAGCTATTACTGCCAGGATTTCCATGGAAATACTAATAAAGAAATCTTGAGCCAATTACAATAATTACAGACCAGTGCTGCCATGTAGGCTAAGCACTTCTGGGAGTCTGTCTCTAGATCATTCTTTGTTTTCTAAGCACAGAAAAACAAAACATAAGATGTATCAGCATGAGGTGTATTTCTTGATTCAGCACTTAAAAAACAGCTCATATCTACATTTCCAACCAGAAGTTTTAGCTACATAGCTATAACAGCATTATAGAAGCAGTGACATTAAGTTAATGAGCTAAAAATGAAAGAATTAAGGATAAGATTAAAGGAAGACTCTTTTTAAAAGAACCAGTTGAAAATTACCCTAAGATATTTTTATCCTTGTTTTTCTTATTTATTAGAGGCTGTTGCTTGTTGATATCTAGCATATGTTTCTTACTTAATTTTGTTATATTTTAATTTCTTTATGAGGTTTCTGTTTTACAGGAAGGCTGTAACCACCCGCGGTGATTACGGTATGCTTGGTGTGAAGATAAATGAGATAATACTGGTCCTTTTATTAAGGAACATCAAAGCTAAGATGAGGCCTTTGAACATTTATACACATAGTCTCAAAGTTAATGATACAGAGTTCTAAAATGGCCATTTGCTCAAATCTTTTTATGATGAGGCTGTGGTTTGGACATGGTCCAAACAAGTTAAAGTTCAAGTAATCTTGTCCAAATAATTTAGGATTCCCTGCTGCATCTGAGAATTTCCTTCCTGTGTGATTTCTGTCTGTTCTCATCCAGATTTACTTTTAAACATTATTCATTAAAAGTCAGGCAAACTGTAATCCTGCAAACTCTTGTGTGTGAGAGCTTCACTGTAGTTAGTAGCTGTATTTTTACAATGTTAGAATTAAATATGGATGAAGAGCTGGCCTAACATTTTTCTGCCCTGGGACCCAAATTAATTTTGCCGTGAAGGGTAAATGGCTAAAGTGATATTAAGAAGAATGGGTGAAAACATTGGTGATGGGCTTTCAGATTGCTGAGAGACTTCTGAGAGACTTGAAGACTAATAGAAACAGCCAGACTTGTACAGACCTAATTGCTTGACATAATTGACACAATTGTTTCCAGTTTTACACCTAGTCCAAGCATTACTGAAGAGTACTTGAATGAGGATTGCAAGACGATCTGTTACAATTCCTTCCTTATTTAATTAATATTCTCAAATGTTAAACAGTGGCATTGGATTCCATTACATCACTGGATAGATTGGATTTCTTGTGTTTCAGAACACCCAAAGGAGAAGTTGTCTGTTTCTTTGAGAAAGGGCATTGGGGGAAGGCAGACAATAATTGAAATAAAATATGGCAGTCACATACATATTATCCAGCAGAGGCAGTAGCTTACCAATGTTGGGAACAGCTTTGGGAATTCGCCCATAGGAGAATTTGTGGAAAAAAACATTTAGCTGTTTATTATTTAAAGTATTGTATACCATGAATTACAATGATAAGTATGGCATTTATATATTTTTAACATAGTCAGTAGTCAGCCACTCTTGCAAATTTCATTTCTGTTAAGAGGATTAGAAAGATGCTAAGGTTGGAATTGGTGTGTTGACTAGTTTTATAAATATTCAGACATCTAAACTGAAGACAGTGGCCTTTAATTTTTTCTTCACCTTTTCATATTGGTCTTGAATTAGATTCCCAGAAACACAGAACAGTTTGGGTTGAAAGGAACCTTCAAAGAATATTTAGTGCAACCACCCCGCCATGAGCAGGGACACCTTTCTTTCACTTGATCAGCTTGCTCAAAATACTGTCCAGCCTGACTTTGAACACTTCCAATAATGGGGCATCCCAACAACTTCTCTTCAACTACCTTCAGAGATCCCTTCCAATTTACATTATTGTCTTATTCTGTTTCTGCACAGTGTACTGATTAGAACATGGAAGGCCTGTCAAACTGTTCCCTCTACTTGCCTTCCCTGCTCTCTGCCCCTGCAGGGCGAGGGGCAACTTGACAGGGTGCCTTTCTTGTCTCTATGCCATGCATGACATTTGCTCTTTGTCCACAGCATGGGTTTGATTTGGAGCCTTCCTCCTTTTATTTGTCCTCCCATCATGTTTCCTGAAAAGGATTCAAGCACAAGCTCCACATTAGTTTAATAACAGCAAGAGGCCATGTCTTGAAAGGAAGGTAGTATTGCATGCCATGTTTTGACATTTTTACCAGGCAGAAGAACTTCTTGTTTATAGTTTCCAATAAATATTCACTTAAATAACTGCAATTTAATATATCTTGCTAGTTATTGCTGTATCTGAGCTCAAAGTCCAAAAATAAATTATCCAGCTGAAGATAGCTAAAGGACAAATGAGAAAAAATGGTTCATTGGTTATTGTGCATTGTTACTAAATGATAATGTAAAATTTTATGATAAAACAATTCTGAAAAGCAAATATTTTTTAGCTGCATTTTGTTTTCAATATTGGTTATTCAATAGAATCAATTTTGCCCAGCCTCCCATTCAACATACTCTTTACCTCACAGTATTAAACTTGTTTTAGATTCTGTTTTTTATTAAGCAAATAAAATTATCTAAACTTATATATGTTCTTTTTTAAAATGCACATTAAAATCAATGAAATTCTCAGTAGGAATTGCTAAAGAAATGCCACTTATTTTACTATCCTAAACTCAGTACTTAGAAAACTAGCAATGGAATTATGCTGATACATGCAATATTACCCTTAAAAATTGAAAGAATGGCAACTGATAGAAAGAAATGCCTCTATTTTGGGGTGCTTTAAAAGATTCTGGTAAACTGTTGTTTATTTCAACAGCTTCATAACTAGATGCTACTTTGCTGTAAATACAAGGAATTAATTTGCAGCTTCTTTTTGTAGGTGCTGCTTTGTGGTGTATTTATTGCTCATCCAAAAGATTCACTTACATTTTTAGAAGAAAAGCTCAGAGAAATAATGGCAAAGGGATTAGATACTTTCTTATGATATATACTGAATTATTCTCTGTGTGTGTGTGTGTGTGTGCACTATGTGGTTTATAATATTGCATTTGGAGTTATAAAATATGCTAATGGTACAGCATCTACTATGTAGACTGCAAATTAAATTATAATATTGCTTTTTTTTTTTTTTTGCAAATATTGATGGCATATGATTTTGCAAAAACAGTAAGACAATATCTCTAAAAACATTGAACATATTTTATTTTTTTATCTATGGGTTTGGAGGGGTTGGGGTTTTTGTTTGTGATTTTTTTTGTCTACAGAATATTTAATGAATATAGCCTCCACTTAATGCTTCTCTTTGTTCAGTTGATCTATTAACCCTTTACTTTTGTGGTAATCAAAACTGAGGTGATGTTAAGGGTTTTAACTTCATTGCTATCCACAGCACATTTACCTATATGAACCAGGGATGTGGCCTTCAAGCACTGCATCATTAAGTGAGGTATTTATCATTTTTTCTGTTCTCTGTATGTTCTTTCACCCTTTTTAAATGACAGCACAGCATGAGATAAAAAAATAAGGATTTAATTTTGTTTATACTGGAATCTTAGAAAATAATGTGATATTTCTTGATTTCTGCAATTTTCTGGTTGAAGTTTTCAATGGGATGTGAGTAATAAATCCTTAATGTTTGGATCCACTCATTAAACAACTGAGTCAGTAAGTTGGCATGCAGTGTGACTGGATTTTTCTCTTGATTATCTCTGTATAACTGTACTCAATTTTATCTTCTGTTAGTACATCTGTCCTGAATTCACACCAATTACATTTCAGCTTTTTCCTCTTTTGCTAACTATTCTATTGGTATTCAGATCAGTCCAAAAGTGAAATGCTTGATTTATACAGTACATATATACAAAGACAAACTTCTTGTAGTCAAATTCTCTCGTAGATTTTTGTAGGAGTAAGAGCAATATGTGAGATAAATTGCAGTATTTTATGAGGCCCATTGCTATTTTCTTCTACTGTGATATTTTTAGCCCTTGGTCTTACACAGTTTTGGTTTTGTAGAAATTCAGACAGGTTTATTAAAATACCACTTAGAATCATGTGGTAAATGGCTGACATAGCAATGGGTCATGAAACAATTTTTTGAAAAGAGTAACTAAAATATTTAGTATGTTAATAGCTGAATACAGCTGATCAATAAAAGAATGGATGTGATGGATAAAAGCCTGAATTTCAGTTACTGATCTTTCCTTCAAGCACACAAACTAGTTCTGGTATGCTAATTAACTTTTCTGTAAAAACAGTAGTGCCATTTGGTAGTGAAGTACTTCTAACCATACACAGAAAATTATACTTGAATATTCATCACTTCAAATTAGATCCTTTAATTTGAAACAATCAGCATGGAAAAGACAACATTTATAAAACAGCAGTACTTTGTGTACTGTCATAAATTATTTTTCAGATTACTAAAAAAATTTTGTGCAAAAGAATGGGACTTTTACAGCAGAAACTTAATGAAGCTTTATTTTGGGTAATTTTATGTATTTCACACATACCTCAGGAACATCATAGGAAAAATCTTTTACCAAAGCAGTATTTATGTTGTTCCTTTGTGTGAGGAAAGTTTTTGTTTTAACACAAAACATAACACAATAACATAGAGATTACAAATTTAGATTTGGTATTAATTTTCTCTAATGTTATTCTATCTTAAAACTTGTCAGGTCTGACCTTGCTCCTGTTCCAATCCTGAAATTTTTGTACTTTAATCAGCTCTATTTGTGAGAAATATGATGGTATACCCATAAATAAAAGGACAATTTCCATTTAGGTCTGAAAGTAAACAATCTGTGTTCTCTTATACTCTTTCTTTGGTTTTCTGTTCTTGGGATTAGGAAGCTCATACTTTATGTAATCAAAATTTTCCTTTGAAAAATGGGGATAATACCTAGACATATTTTAAAATATGATAATGACAATAAACACATCCACTGATTTCTTTGTTATGTGTATAAAATTTGATGATCCTCCACTTAGAATTAGGTAAGGTGGGTAATTTTGTTTTGAAAAGCATGCAGTGCTTATTATATAGGAGCTACAGCCCTGCTAGGAACACTGGTGTAAATCTTTACTAAGAACCATAGAATAACGGAATTGCCAGGGAGGTAAATGTTTTCAAGCTGTGCTGTGGTTAACCTTGGTGCAGATTTGTCCAGGGTGTTTTTAGGCATTTTAAATATCACAGGTGCTGGAGACACACCAATCTCAGCAAGCAGTATATTCCAGTACTTCATAATCTTTTCTACTACAAATATTTTCCTAATACAGTAGCCCTTCTAGCAAAAAAAAAAAGTCCAAACCCACCACATTTTTTTAAATCTTACTATCTTATACAATAGGGACATGGAAAATGATTCATTTTTCCTTTAGTGCGGTCTTTCTAAGATTGTCTCAGCTAAGAATTTTGTTAATTATCTCAGATGTTGGACTGGAACAGAACAGGCTCCATTTATAATTTCTCCCAAGTATGTGAATATTTTTTTTATATGAAACATGGGAGATTTTGGGAAATGGATTTAGCCATGGAAAGTCTAATTCATTCAGCAAATCAGATACAGAGATAGTGTATTTTAATATATCAGTGATATATGACTCATTTGAAATACATATTTGTTCTGAATCTAATTATTTCTTATTGCTTAGCCTGGAAGGAAAATGGGACTTCTACGAAAGGTTAAAATTGGTAATATATAAACTGAATTTGCATTCAGTTACATTGGGATTTTTTGTATAGCCAAGGAAATATGAATAGCACTTAAGTAAATGCATGTGTCTAGCATTTTAAATGATTTTCTGTAAACACTCAAATGTTCTCCCATAAATACAGATCTGTACTTTAGTGAAGTACAGATGACAGTAGCAGGACTTAGTAGCAGTGGAAGCAAGCAAATTTTTATTTTTGAATACTTCAGAAAATTACAAACAAGTAGAAATTTTATTAAAATGAGCGTATGAATTGCTACTGAAAAATGTCATCAATGTGTATTTTATTTAAATTATAAATAATAAACACCAGTTCTATTCAGAAATTTATATTGTTGAACTTGATTGCTTTGAATTTTACAGCAAATTGCAGAGTTGTGTGGATTTTACTTCAGGTCAGAAACTGTATTAAATTACTCATTCTGTTTACAGTTCAGAGAATGGATAAAATATAATTTGCTGAAAAGGAATGAGAAAAGAGCCAGAAGATGGCTCTAGAATAAGTCCATTATAATATCCAAATATTAAAAGTTGTCACACAGAAGTGGAACATGTGGATACTAACTGACAAGGAAAGAAAGACATGTAAGTCTAGGTATGCATATTGGTCTGCATCACATAAAAAATATATCATATATAATCAAAGGTTATGCTGTATTAATTAAATGTTCTTGGTCCAACAATTTATCTAGCTGTCTTTTTGCAGGATGCCATCCACTGGCTGGGCTGTGAGAACTTGATGACATGAGTGTCCAGAGAGGCAGGTCCCTGTGTTCTTTGCTAGGACAGATGGTTCTGGTACTCTTCTCTCAAGACTGAGCAGTGATGCTGGTTGGGAGGTGTTAGGGAAATGGAGGGTGTGTCAGAAGTACGGGGTGGAAAGAGCTGGGATGCTTTTCTGGGAGGTGAAGTGTGCAGTGATAAGGTTAAAACAGAAGGGATCACAGACTTGGAGTCTTAGCTTTGATTAGATGGAATGAATGATGAGAGGTGAGGATGGAGTGAAAATCAAACTAAGAAACTCAGAAGACAAACTGTTATATTAAAATACTTAAAATTTTAGTTTGACTAGATTGGGTCAAGATACCCTGTTTCTGGAATGTATCAGGGCACTCTCAGAGAATAGTAATCTCAAATTCTGTCCATTCTTAGTAGCAGTTGCACTTAGTAGCAGTTGATTGGTTTGACTTCCATGATTAGGTTAGAATTCATATAACAGTCATTTTTAAATTGTATATATTTATATTGTGCACGCTTTTGTAGACATTTTGGGTAAACTAAGTCACCTAAACACACATTTCTGGTATAATTCCACATGCCCTAGGATATGTGCTGGGAGCTGGGGCTGTGGAACTTTGAGACAAGCTACAAAATAATGGCTTTATTTTTGTATGAAGTGCAGAGGGAACAAAAAATATTACAGAAAAGCAGGAAGCCTACTGAAATGCTTCCATTTTGTATTTAAAAGATTGCAGCTCCCTTGATCCAGAGAAAATTACAAATCTATATGGTTGTCACCTGGTTTCTTTTTCCTGAGCTGTCACTATTTTATTCAGTATGGGAAATGCAGAAAGAGCTCTTCTGTTTAGAAGACAGAGCAGAGGTTTGCTCTAGCTGAGTGCCTGACCATTTGCTGCAGAAGGGCAGAGCCCTTTCTCTCTTCCTTTCTCCTTCTGTGAATCCTCATGTTCTCTTTTAGGTGGATCCAGAATGTAGATACAGTCCCCTTCAACAGGAGATCGTTACTGGGTGTTGTCTCTTCCAGGCCAAATATGTGTTTGCTTTGGGCATTCACAAACTGTGGAAAAAAAAGTATGCCTGGACTTTCCAAAGTTCTGGAACTTATGATTAGTGGCATTTGTTGTCTCTGGCATTATAGATGATGTTTGGTGATGGATCATTTCAAAATTATGGGGTATTTAGTAAATATACTTATTAGCACACTATCATTTATTAAAGCTTTCTATGCTGCTCCTGTTCCAAAAAATTATAGGAGTTTTTACTTATGGCTGGACAAGAACTGTCCTCAGGGCCAGCTGGAAACCATTTGCTTTGTAAATTACAGTTTCCTAAAAAAGGTCAGTGGTACCACAGTACCCTGATGTAGAGTTATTGACAGAAAATTATTGCTGTGTTTTAAAGGTGGCTGTTGCAGTCTTGATACCAAGTTTTAAATTAGGTGGAATTTTGAAGTTAAGGAAATGATCTACATGGCCAAATTAAACAGACTTTTGGTTAGAGAAGCCCATGATGGATCCAACTATATTTATCATGGATGCAGGTCTTTGAAGAGATGCACAAGAAGAATTTGATGTTGAAAAGGGCCTATACATTTCTATGCCTTAAAAAATATTTGTAAGCCCCAACTGTATTGCTTTGCTGGGTGGTGGTGGGATGCAGAGACCCCACATCTCACAACTGCAATAGTGATTTCTGCACTTAGCCTTTAGCAAGGCTGTTGTGAATGAATTCATCTTGTCAGAGCAACACAGGAGTGAGAGAGACAGGACTTTTTATCTGATCTCTTGGAAGCTTTTAATCTAGCTCTTTCCCCCAAGAAATCCGTGAACGGATGCCAAGGGGCTTACAGAGAAACTGACCTTCTATGCCCTGCAGGTCAGGGTGGGTCAAAAGGGAACAACCAATAAGAAACACAGAATTAACATGAAACTGAAAAGCATGCTGGACAGGTGACTGTGCCTCACTCCACCTGCAAGGGTGGGCAGTTAAAGTTTCTTCCCTAAGGAGAGTGGCTGACTGTATCCTACATAGCTTCTTCCCTCCAGGCTATACTGTTGGTTGGCTCACTGTCCCCCACACAACTGCATTCTGAAACAGCTAAATATCTTTAAAATGAGAGTGGCTACAGCAAGTTCCAAAATTTCTGTGGTAAGAACATAAAGCCAGAAATCCTGGAAGAAGTTTATATGAAGTGAATAGAGACAGCTTGTTGAATAGCAGCATACTTTGAGGAGCAGGCAAATTACCTGAATGTATTACCTAAGCAATTAAATGCTAGTGAAAAAAGACACATTAGTATTTTTATATATTAGACACATCAGTAATTTTCCTACTGAATTTTCCATTTCTAGCTAATGAAATTATAGTCTATGGAAAGTTGTGTAGCTAATATGGAAATATGCTTCTATAAATGACAGTGGCATCTTTGCTGTGTTTTCACACTGATATCTTACTATTAACTTGCATATCTTAAATGCAAAGGTCTTTGGAGATGTGCAAGAAAAAATTCTCTTCAGTGATAGGATATAGGATAAAATTAGAAAGTGTTTCTGTATTTCTGCTATCAGCCAATTGCCATATCAAGTTTAAACTGTTGCCATTAGTGTATTATTGTGCAGTTATAAAAGTAATTACATTACTAGCATAAAGTTTTTCTTATATAAAAATCACTTTAGGAAAAGTGATGAGGGATGCTATTAACTGTTCCTTTCTAGTTTCTTCTTCATACTTAGAATTGCATATTTTAAGTGTTGCATATCAGATATTTCAGTATGTGATGATGCAATTCAGAAATGCAAATGGTTATGGATATGCGACATTTTAGTATGTAAACATGTCGAAGATATTATGCAGAAGTGACATCCATGTGTGTTATGTTTGAATCTTTGAGGCTGCTCTTCTTTTCACTGGCCTAGCTTTAAAGTATTTTTAAATCCTTTCTTGCTAGGAGCCCCTTGAGTCTTCTCCAAATGAACAGTCACAGGTCTTGTACTTACTAATAGGGAATATGCTCGAATTCCTTAGCCATTTTTTGCCCATTGTTGGACCTTCTCCAGTGTGCCCATGTCTCTCATGTACTGGGAAGCCCAGAACAGGACACAGTACTCCAGGTGTGGCATCACTAGTGCTGAAGGGAAAAATCACCTCTGGATCTCTTGGCAACACTCCTAATGCAGCCCAGGATACCACCCATCTTCTTTGTGGCAAGGGCACATCACAGGCTCAGGTTCAACCTGGTGTTCAGCAGGACCTCCAGGTTCTTTTCTGACAGCCTGTTTTCAAGCTGGGCTGCCCCCAACATGTTCTGGTGCGTTGAGTTGTCTCTCCCCAGATGCCAGATTTTACACTTCTTGAGCTTCGTGGGGTTCCTGTCAGCCTCTTTCTCCAGCCTCTCAAAGTCCCTCTGGATGGCAGCATGACCCTCTGGTCTATCAGACACTGCTCCCAGTTCAGTGTCATCTGCACACTTGCTGAGAGTACACTCTGTCTCATTGCCCAGGTCATTAATGAAGATGTTAAACAGGACTCTCCTCAATACTGACTGCTGGGCTATACTGTTAGTTACTGGCCTCTAACAAGAGGCTCACTGACAAAAAAAAACACAAACTAAAAAAAACAACAACAACCAAACTTTAAAAACCCCAAAAACTAACTATGGTCCTCCATATTAATGTGGTGTTCACAAATAATCAGTACTTCATTCTACTTCTAGATGTATAAAAGCATCTTAGTTCTTCCTGATTCTATGCATGTAAGTACATGTGACTGAGGGTTTGGAGGTTAATTCTCTTTGTGACAGCATTTTGCAATAGTTTCAGGTCAGTAATATTTTTCTCAATATGGTTGTATGCTCCACTAAGCAGAAAAGTGGGCAGGAAAACTATTCTTTATGATCAGTGTGAGAGGTTTAGTCCTAGTGTGAAAGTGTACTTGATTCGTTAGGAATCACCTGCATCCCAACTTTTACTCATCTATTTTATCATGATAAGTCTGAAAACATCTTGGAAGTGTTTTCATGAGGAAAAAACTCCTCCGCTACAACTAGACAAGATCCCAAAAAACATTTTTGATTCCTGGCACAGTATTTCTGAAGCAGGAGAATGTTACTAATTGACTCTTTTCTAGCCTACACTTTAATTGAATTCAAATGCATAAAAAGAAAAGAAAAATGTTATTATTTTCAAAATTAAAAAGTGTGATTCTTTTTTATGTTTTGAGACTATAATGCATTTATTATTTAATTTGAGAATACATGATTGAAATTGCTGATGCAGCCTATAGCAATTAGAGTGATTTCTTTTGTTTTAGAAAATGACTGTGTAATTATGACATGTGAGAGCAATTTAGCCTCTAGATTGGTGATGAAAAAGAACAACTGGCTAAGAATAAAAAGTATTTTGGTGATAGTTTTGACTTTTATATCATAGGGTAAAATAACATTCTCAGTGATACCAGCATGCAAATTGTTTAGTGATAGAATTTAATCCAGTATCATAATGAATTTTGGGAGCTAATAAAATAAGCAAACCAAAATAAATCACACACAGCTACATCATCTCCTTTATGGGTGTTGTACTTAAAAATGTTAAATCCTTCTATGATTTTTTCATTGTGTATTTGGGTACAAAACTAAAATCATCATAGTGATTCTTGTGTTTAGGACTGAAAAAAAGTAAAGAACAGTTGTGATAGAATTACATCTTGTATACAAACAGCCTTTTCCATTACTTAACTGACTTGTATCTAGTGTTGATTATATCATTTGGAGTATCCATATGTTGATTGCCATCCATTTTCATTTATCTTACATATCAAAGACACTGAATTCAATTCTTGTCTCTACAACCTTGCATTTCCCGTTTTTGTTGATAATTAATGTTTCCGGAGGCTCAAAATCAAACATTATGTCTATTTACATGTACTGAGTGTTATTTTAAGCTGGTTGTGATGAGTCATATATGACAGTCTACAGGGGCTTTTAGAAAACATTGATTTATAAAGCTGTTTCTTCCAGCTTTGAAGATACACTATAGTTCTTTTTAGGCATGAAACACATTTAAATCAGTCTCCTATTGATATTTAGATTAACTACATATGTTTTTATGTTGAAACTCACTGGCTATATTTATCATATAGCCTACTTGTGCTATTCTTTTGAAGTTCTTGTGGATGGTTTAACGTTGCTGCAAAACTATCAATCCTCTTTTAGAGACTGAAAATCATATTTAGATTCTTTTCCTTTGACATTTTTTCAGCTAACAAACTGAGTTGAACTGTCTGTTCAATTATAGGCTACAGATGTGATGAACCTTTCCATTCAAACTTATCTGAGCTACAGTTCTGACCTCATCTTTCCAAATAAATTCAAGATTACAAAGATTTTGGCAACATGCTTTTATTGTTAGTGTTAAAAAAACAGCTATATTAACTGTGGGTTAGGTCTGTTCATCTGACTAAGCATGCTTGTGGGGTTTTCTTGATAAATTAATAATCTGCAATTTTAAGAAATTTTGTTTGTGCACTCTAATTTTGGCATGTGGTGCATTCATGAAATAATAGTCTTTGTCTAATATCTGCATGTGAATGTTAATATGATTCCAGCTCAGAATGTCTTTGGTAAATCAGAGTGCTACTGTGCCAGAGAATATGAGTATATGGGATGTGTGGGTTATGGCTCAGCTGTTTGTGGTATTCCTCCACCTACTCAGTGATCTTGGAGAATCATTTGTCGTCCATGTGTGACTGGGGACTGCCTTTAACTGCTGCCATTAGTATTCATAGTGCAGGAGCTAAAACTTCCTCAGAAGCTTTTGAAGTGTTTTATTTTCAGTATTGACAGACATTTCCATTTTTCCTGTATTCTGTCATGGAAAACATGGCACAAAATAATATTTTCTGTGTTCCATGTAGCTGTGTAGAGAGAGGGGCACTACCTCTGTAGAGCACTGTATTTCATCCCTTAAGGCAGCACTCCTAGGACATGCATTGCATATTAGGAAGACAAGGCAACTGTCTTCATGCAAATGTAGCATGCAATTATTTCCTGGCTATGGACAGAGAAGGAAGGGAAATCAAGAGAAAAGTTACTGAAAGAAGAAACTTAAAGAGCTTATAAAAGAAGAGGAAGGCTCATGATTTTCTTTTAGATATGGAAGCTCTTCTGAGAGCTTTCTGATTAAATGGCACAGAAACATAGAGGTGTCAACATTAAATTGTGTTTTGTGGCTGTGGTGTTTGATGGAGATTTTATTTTACAGTACATTTTTGAGAAGCTCAGGGAAATTGCAATGAACCCTGTAATGCTGAAGTTTTTATCAATTCTTAGTCTTTCTCCCCATGTGTGTTTTTCATATATATTATTGTCTTTTTTCTTGTGCTGCCTCCTTCTGCACTACCTTCATAACTCTTGTATGCTTTTTCTCTTCATACAGTCTTTTCTCAAAGAATTTGCTACTAGTCACTATCAGGAGATCATGCTAACCTATATTATTCCTGCCTCAACCTCCTATTTCTGTTTTGTTCTTACATTATTTGTAGTTACAATTACTGCCATTATTGTTGTTTATTCTGCCACATCCTCAGTGAGAGTGTCTGCAAATGCCAACATACACAAAATCCTGATGTATTTCAGCTAGTTTTTCAAGGAGTTTCCCCCAGGCACACACACCCTTTTTTTTTTAAGTTATAGGAAACTAAACCGCAACATAAATATTTCTGTGTCTGTTTTGAAACAATTCTCTAGTATCATTGAAAAAAAACGAAATATTCAATAATTTTAAGCAGTAAGGAATAAAATTATAGTGCACTGTAGTAAAAATAATAGAATTTCCAGCTATTCCTTGAACACTTCAAAGACCATCTAAGGAAAACAGTATCAAAGACAATTCCAGCATTCAAAACTTCAGACCATTTTTCATTGCTAGAAGTCTTTTCATTTGCTGATTACAGATGTCTAATCAGTACTGCTCTTAAGTACTGAATTTAATTAGATTTTATTGCAAAAGTGTTTCTTTCATGGAGCTTCTGTGCTGACACTGACTTCACAAGGTCACATGGAAACCTTTATTTGGAGATAGTGCCGAACCATGTTCCTTGTTAATATGTCCCTCCCTCACTTACAGATTTCATTTAATAGCTGTAGCCAGACATCTTGTGCTGTCAGACGCAGGCAGGATGTTCAGCTCTTTATCCCCTTTCAACCTTCAGCAGGTACAGCCACTGTTTCTTTTGCCACTGTTTGAAACCCCGAATGATCACACCCCTCCCTTAACTCTGTCTTCTACTGAAGATCATCCTACTTATCACTGTGTATCACAGGTTTTACCCTTGGTCCTAAGAGGTACATTCATGATCTCTTTGGGAATCCCCAGGGCCTCTGAACAAGAGCAATTAGGCCACTGCTTGTGGTCCTCAGTCTTATCCCACTGTTTTTTCAACTGGTACTTTTTGCTGACCAGACAGATCAGAGACCTCTCACACAGATTTTGTCTTACAATCTCCTTGGATGAAGGATTGTCTTTTCTTCACAGACTTCGCCTGCTTTAAGCTAGTATTTTTCCCAGCACTGACTCTTTCCAGAAATTAACATAGCATGGTCTATAAATGCATTTTTTCCTAGTCAGATTTTCACCATTGGCTGTGCTGCTAATAACAGATGTTCTGCTGTGGTTTCATCACCTGTCCTCTTCAATCATTCCCAGGGGTTCTGTATTGAAATAATTAAGAAATAATTCAAGAATTTGAGAGGAGGAGGAGGAGGAATACTTGCTACTATTTGTGGCAGACCTTTTTTTTTCTTTCTGCACTTTTAAGTTTCTAGAATATACCCTATTTAGTGAATGTTACTGGCAAATGGGATTTTCCTCTCTGTTCCATCTTATCAGGATTAACCTTTAATAGCTAAGATAATGTTTAAGATATTTCTAGGAATAGACATGAGTCAGATACTGTTCTATTTTTGCTATAAAGTTTTTGACGGATGTTGTAGAAGAAATGGGTAAATATCCAGTTTGTCAGAAAAGCACTATTAAATGTATTAATATCTGAATAATGGAGGACATGAAAGAATGCAAATAATAATGGAATGTGTTTGCTTTGAGATTCTTTGGCATTCCCACCACCCTTAACATCTCCTGATTTTTTCCTTTATGTTCTTTTTTTCATGTTAGCACTAAAGCACTGAGTGCTTTGGTTTGTAAAACAAAATGCATGACCTTTGGGACTCATGATTAAAGCACCAGGGAATGCACAAGCACCATAATTGTCTCCAGATCTTTAAAAGAGGAAACTTTCTCCCTGGAGTCTCCCAGAACTTCCATGATAGTCAAGAGAAATATAAATTTTGGCCCTGAATTTCTACTCTGCACTTATGCGTTTCTTAGTGATCTAAGTATATTATGTAGCAAGAAATTTTATTTTTAGACATATAATCTATTTAGCTGAGGCATTTATACTGCTATTACTGTAGTATTAGAATCATCACAGGTTTTAATCAATGCATATTCACATAGATAGTTGCTTGACAAGGAGGTGCTGTAATGTGCATTTTAGTAATGAGCTGAGAGAAGAGTGAATTTAGAGAATGTCCCACACTTCTGAGCTCTGAAAAGAATACTTACCTTCAGTTCGGGTGGGCACTGATGTGGTGGATGCAGACCACAGCATCCTTCATGAGATCCTCGTCACCTAGAAGTGATGGCATGTAATCTGTGTCAAACTGATACAACAACCTAAAATTCTTCCTAGAAAGATTTCGGCTCTGCCTACCTCAAAAATCAAACAAGGAACTTATGAGCATGTGGAGCTGGATCTTGGAAACCAACCATGTCTTGACTAATAATTCTTTTAAGGCAGCTCAGGTACGGAAGAGGCAGAGGCTGAGTTATTCATTCAAGATGGAGGAGGAACACTGGTAAATCAGCAAGTGGAACCCACTTTCTGTGTTTGAATCCTAATTAGTATAACAACTGCCATTTCTCTTTCTCTAGAATTGTACTTAAGGTTAGTCTTAAGTTTGTTTTTTTAGTTTGCAATAAAACAACAGGAAGTCAATATAAAAATCATAGAAATGTTTTCTGGGAATATTTCAGGAAACTGATAGATACAAAGAACCATCAATACATTCAAGAAAAATGTGTCTTGGTCACAATCCTGCAGCTATTTCTGTGTGAACACATAAACTGTGTTCATACATAAGACAGCTCCTCCCCACCACATTATATACATTTGTGGCTCTTGATATTTACTGTATAGTTTCAAACATTTGCCAAAATATTTCACAGGAGTGTCCAGAACAAATTGTCAAAAACAATTGCTAGATGAAGGATGCTGTCCAACTAATGTCATTCTGTAGTTATTATCTGCAATAAACAGACATCTTTGTAGGCAGCTAGTCCTTTAAACCAACAGAATAATTAGAACAAATGTAAACAGCATGTTTTCCTTTTTCAAAGTATCAAATATCTAAATCTACTAAAGGAAAGAGTTCCCTTATTAGCCTATCACGGTGACAATTACACCATGCTTCTTTACTGTCTGAACTGTTTGCTCTTTGTGTCGTTCCCATTCCTCATCATCTTTGTCCAGATCAAAAGTTTCTGGATAAATGGGAAGCTTGTCTTTTGGGCATTCCTCATAATAACTTCGAACATATTTTCCAACAGACCATCCTTTGTATTCCTCAGGCATTTTGCATTCTAGGCCATTGTAGTGAACATTGTAGTGATGCTTTAGCCAGTAGAAAAGATAATGTATGTTGTAATCGCATCTCCAAGGATTCTCTCTCAGCCACAGTATTTTCAGAAAGTAAAGATCTTCCAGTACTCCATATTCAAAGTTCTGCAAGCTGTTGTTTGATAGATCCAGCTCCTCTAAGTTATTGAGGCCTGAAAAAGCCGCTAAAAAATAGAAAAGTAGTTATTAGTACCTTATAAAATTAACTTAGGGAAAAACCATTCATATCTGTGACAGGAAAAATATGCATATCTAGAACGGGAAAAATATTTTAATAATTTTATGGTTACTGGTGGGTTTGAGGGTTCTTTTGGCTTAAGGCTACAAAAGAATTTCTCAAACATTGAACTTTAAAATATGGCACATGCCTTCAGAAGTGAGAAATATTAGGGGAGTTGCACTGCTGGTAAAGCTATAAAACACTTAATGAGTCTGCCTGAGCGTAGAATAGAGATAGTGGAGGTGGATGGATGCCTGATTTGCTCATTGAATCCTACTGTGATTGTCATGATACAGAAGTAGGTATACGGAAACTTATTATTAGACAATGTGCAGGGCCAGAGGTTTTCGTATGTATATAGGTATTTGTGTGCATGTATAGAACCTTCAAATTAATGTTTTAAGATTTGGAATGGAGTAAACATGGAGCTTCATAATAATGCTTGTGAATTACATTTCAGAGAGCAGATCATACTTTTTGCAAGGATACTGTTTCATTTAAGAGTAGAAGTTTTAATTTAAATAAATCAACTGTGTAATGTTAAACCTCCTAAGTACCATTTTACTGATATTACCACTTTCTGATGCTGTTTAATTGCCAGGATGGTACTAGATAAGGCCCTTTTTCTTGATAAATTTTCTCACTATTTCTCTCACCCATTTTATGTCTGCTTTTGTAATTCAATCCAAATGCACATAAGCTATAAGCAAATTGCCAATAAGAGCACTTGAGTTCTAATAAAATATAACTTAAAAGAAATTATATGTGGGGATTTTTAACCAGAAGGAGTTTAAGTCCTTTAGGTTTGTCTGTTATTATACCATAGAATATAATTGAAAAGTAGCCTCCTTATATGACATGTTTTTTTAGATGTGGCAGAGATATTTAAAAAATCATTCAACTACTTATTAGAAAACTGTTAACCTTCAGGTTCCAGAATTACTTTTTGCACTTGGTTAGTTTAGTATTAAGAAAGGGCAACTGAAACATGTCTTGCTCTTGATTTTCATGATGAATATATTTTAGTGCAAAACTTTGAACTGAAAGGTACAAAATGTAAAATTTGCACCAGCTTCTAGATTTTTAAATCCTTCTTTCCCCCCACCAGATATCAGTTTGTATCTGATAGAGACAGTATTTAATGAAAGAGAAATCACTTTTAATAAATATTTAAAATTATTCTTACCAGGATCAATGTATGTTATTCCATTACTGTTCAGGTTTAATATCTTCAGCTCACTGACATCTTCAAACTCCTTGGCTCGTAGCTGTCTAATTTTGTTGTTGGACAAATCAAGTTTAGCTATATCTGGAGGTATGTTACCTGGAACTTTCTTTAAATCTTAAAAAATGAAAAAGATATAACTTGTATCAGTTTTAGATTACTCTTACTGCTTAGGTATCACAGTTGCATGCCAGACAGAGTATTGTCAGTCTAACATTGTTTCTTGTTTTCTTTCCCTTTTATCCTCTCTAGTGAAGATACCATATTAATATAAAAAATGTATGTGAAAGGCTGATTGCTTAAAGAAAAGAAACCAGAGTAACTATATAAAAAATACACCCAGGCAGCAGTGTGTCATTCTGTCTGCTTCTCTGTCCTACTTCTACCACTGGCATTTCCAAAGCAGCCAAGGACCTCTCAGTCATCAGTGTCTGTATCCTTACAGTGTTCCTTGCAAAAGAGCTCCAGAAAGAACAGCTCATATTCCAGTAGTAAGAGCCCATGCTTGAGGAGTGCAGACTGTGGTTTGAACCCTCTTAGGGTAATGTTAACAAACCTAATCTCCAGGATTATTATATTTGCTCAAAGAGTGTTCTAATCCCACACTGTCATAACAAGAAAATGAGCAATGTCTCTTATTTGACCGTCCTTGAATGAGAGCAAGTAGTTTCTGGACTTGTATTGGAATCTGTGTGGTCACTATAATTCTGAATTTCTGGAGATGTCTAATGAATCGGGTATTTTTGAGACTAAAGCAACATACAGAGTCTTCCTGCCTTATATCTGATTATGAGTAGAGCTTTGGTATTATAAATACATAAATATTATAACTACTCCAGCTTGCTGTGGTTGGATTGCTTCCTGCTTCTGCAGATGTCAAAGTTTCAGGGCCTATTTATCCCCAAATGAATGCAAATAATGCTTGAATTTAGAGACTTGGAGAGTTTGGCAGTACTAGAAAGCAGGTTTTTTTCAACTGTCCTTGAAAATATAAGTGCTTTGCAGCAATGCAGACAAAATGCTTTGGCTTCCTTATTTATCTTTTTTTTCCTTTTGTTATGTTTTGTTTTTTGGTTTTGTTTGTTTGTTTGTTTGTTTGTAAAACAGAATCAAGGGCATAGAGTATTTCATTCTGGAGTACCACAAGGTCTGATATATCACTGGTCTGATGAGATATAAATAATTACTAAAAAAAAAAAAGAGAACATGAAGATAGAGAAATGTATTTTTAAGATGTTTCTTTCATGAGCTTTCTGACATTAATTGAAAGTTCCTGACCTGTTGTCATACCTCTTTAGACATAGTAGTGGTAGAGTGAATGCTTGTCATTCCATTCCCTCCACTGTAAAGGAACAATGGATTGCAGATTTTAATGTCATCTTACTGGTTTGACAACTGATGCACTTTTTTTTTTTCTATTCTGAATTCTTGTCCATGCAGATTTAGAGAAATGTTTGTGTTTTCCCTGGATTTTGTGTGCATTATTGTCCTATTTCTGATTAAAATTCCAGTGAAATTATGCATCTGCTGTACAATATTCATATACAGAAACAGTAAGTACAATGCTTTCATCAAAGATTACCATGTTTGGGAATACCAAATATCCACGGGATAGCTGCATCCATCTGTCAAGCATATGCACAGTACATCTAGTACTTCCAAAAAAGTATTGAAACATAGTCAGTGTGTCCATGGTAGGCATGCAGGAAGTTCTGGATTGATATACTTAGTTCTTGACCTGAAAGAGGGAGTACCTCTAATGGCCTCTAGTACCCTCTTGTAGTGGTTGAAATAACTTTATTCCTCCATTACTAATATTAAAGACAAAAAAATATGTCTTTGAATACCATAAACCCCTTTGAAACTCCCATGCAGATCAGAACACATTGAATGACTTTATAAACTTAGAAAAAAAAGTGGTTTTTTTTCCCCAGAAGTTTATGAGTATATTTATGTATGCAGCTCATCTCTTTGATACCACTAAGTGGGGAGAGCTATAAAGTCAGTCTTTGCTTATATTAGGATTGTTATTTATGCCTGGGTTTTGTTCAATAACAGTTTACTGACTAGTAATAGTAATAGTGATATAATTAAGATCCTATGAAGAATAATTAAGATCATAATCTATAGTAAGATCCCATCTACAAGGAAAGGTAAGATAGGTGAATATTAAAAGCATAATAAAAGAAACATAAATCATTAATAAAAATATGTAGTAATTGCATGGTAAAAGAAAGAGAAAATTGAGCCAGAGGGACAAGAAAGAAATTAACAGGGTGAAAAAAGTAAAGAACACAGACCGTTTTTGTGACATATATAGTAGATAAACCATGTAATCAAATACTGAAATAATTGATATTTAGATATTATCTCCTTATACTGAATTCTGAGCTTTTTCTGAGCTTTTCTCTGGCATAAGGGTACAAGAGTAAGAGCACAGTGATGTTTTTACATAAAATCAAGTTATTCTTAAAGCAAATAGAAGTTCAGCTGAACAAAACATGCAGGCTAAATTCTGCTAAAATGGTGAAAAAGGTCTCACAATGTCAGCTGCTTCAAGCAATGCTTCTCATTGAAGAATGATTCTCCTCTGAATTGTTTGCTTTGTTTTGTCATGGGATAAAATATGGGAAATATAAAGGACAAATAATGTGCATTTTCATGTTGATATATACCCCATCTGGTTTACCCTTAAGGCTTAACTGTGGCTCTTAGGGGCCTGAGAAGGATTTAGGGATGGAATGGATCCAAGTGTCTGAAAAACATTTCTTGAAGTCCCTTCACCTTTGAATTGTTTGCTGGGTACTGGGAGGAAGAACACAGAGGAGATATTTCTTCATGAACAAAAACATACCATTTCTTCCTTTAGTAGAAGAAATCTTGTGCAGCGAATGTGAGGATGCAAAGCCTTTCCTTTGCAATCAGGGTCCTCTGGGCATTGAAAACACAGCTGGCTGCTCTAGTCCTGCTTCACAGCTCACTTTTGTCAAAGTTATTGCTATCTTTGTGTTTGTACAATGGATGGAAGAAAAGACACACTGTGCTATCCTGTATCAGTTCAACAGTTTCAGCACAGCTGTAATTTGACAGATTAGTATGTTTACAGTTGTACAATCAGACTGGTAATTTAAGTAATATGCCTAGTTTTATTCCTGTTGTTTTCTATTAGATTCTTACATTACAGCACTAAGGAATACCTGTGGAATTTGGGCTGCAGAGCAGAGGTAAAATGCAGAATTCCTACTTATTGCTGGTAGTTCCAAGAGAAAAACAACAATTTCAGTTTAAATTTCAGTTAAAAATTTCAGTTAAATTTCAGTTTAAAGCAAGTACTAGTACCAAGTTCTTTTGTGCTAAACAATGTGTGAATAAACGTAGTAAGGATTAAATAAATATAATATTAAAATCATTAATTCATTTATAACAATAGATACAAACCTTTTCTTTTGCAGTTCAGAGTTGTCACGGGAAACACATACATGTGGCACAAAGAGGAATCAAATTCTGGTTTGACAGGTTCAGGCTTCTCTCGTTTTATGTTTTTGGGATCCTGCCTGTCCTTTTCACTACATAGCTCATCAGCTTTTATTTGCTTTAGCTTTTGATTTTTCAGTTCTATTGGGTGCACACATTTGGCATAATTTCCCAAATTCCTGTTTGTTGGAACCTGTAGCATTGTAACAAGAGTTTCTAGTTCACAGCTGCAATGCCAGGGATTGTCATAGAGACGCAGGTAGTTTAGACTGGGAGTATAAATAAAAATCTCCTCAGATAAAATCTTAATTTGGTTATGCTGAAGTAAGAGTGTGGTAAGTTTATCCAAACCATAAAAAGCCTCACTCTCAATTTTTGATATGTCATTCTGTTGTAAATCCAGACTTTTCAGTACTTTGTACTTGGAAAACATATTATTCTTTAATTTACGAATCCTGTTTCTTGCTAGCAGCATGTGTTTTATATCCTCTGGCCAATCAGGTGCCACAAAAACCAATTTTCTTTCCTGACAATCTAAGTATTTCTCATGAAGATAAGCGTAAATATCACATGTTAAGCCTTGGGCATTGCGCTTAACAGTGCTAGATGCTCTCCTTAAGATGTTTTCCCTTCCATTGTTTCTCAAATTCCTATTCCTTGTCCTCCTACAGTCAGATGCATTACAGAGAAGAAGTAGTAATATAATAGTAACTACTTGCATCCTGACATTCAGCTGGCCCCAGTTATTTTCTGTGACAGCTGGAACAGTTGAAATTTTTTGGATAGTCTGAATCAGTGTTGTACAGATCTGAGGAGGCACTGCTGGGGTATGTGGTATCCCTGTGTTGGAAGAAAAGTAAAACATTAGAACAGATGAAATGGGCATTTTCATGGAGGATTGCAGTCATGTACTGGATCATCAAACTAGGAAGTTCACAAATACTTTAAAGACTTAATGTTCTATCTCTTTTTGTTTGTTTATTAGATTTTACTGACTGTGGTCTACTGTTTTTCATTATGATTAAACAGGGAAACTATATGGACCAATTTCTCACTGATCTTGTGAGAATCTCCTAACAAGAGTTCAGGAAAACAGCATCAGGCAGGACCTTTTTGTATTTCAGTTAATCTTGGAAGATGAACTCAATCTTGGAGTTTGAAGCTGGTCTTTCCCAACTTCCTGTGTGCTGAACAACTGGAACACATATACAGCCAGACCAGGGAAAGCCATCCAGTGCCCATCAGACTCACAGGTTTAGTTTGCACTTAAAGGTGGGTTTGTTTTCAATTCATCTTCTCAGGACTGTTTACCTCAATTTTTGAGGTTTTGTGCTTTCATCTCAGTAATCTGCTGTGACCATGGTTCAGGATATTGGCCCAAATAGATTGAACATGCATGAGGAATTCTTATATTTATGTCATACACTGAGAATTTCAACTGTTCACCTTTCATATGATAGTTTTTTGGCTTATTTTTGTTGTTGTTTTGTTTTTTGTTTTGGGTTTGGAGTTTGTTGTTTGGGTTTGGGTCTTTTAGGTGAATTTCAAAATTTTCAAGACTTACGTATCTGTAAATGCCAGGGATTAAATATAAGAACAACAAACTCTTTCTACAAATTCTAATTTATACCAAGAGGAAAGATTGTTTTTCAAGTGCTGTGACTACTTGGGTGACAAATCTTCCTGATAAAAACTAGAGACTTTCAAAAGTACTTTGAAAATAGAGTTTAGTAGGATTCAGAGATAATCAGTGAAGTTCTCGTTGGTTTTCTGCAGTACTAGGGCAAAATTATATATTCAGTCTCAATTAATTTTGATAAACAGGTTTCAAACCTTAACCAGTCTAGAAGGAGGGTTTTGTTGTTATTATAAGCTTGGAGATGTCAACAGCAATACATTTTAATCCTATATTGGCTACAACTTCCTTTATTCCTTCAGTAGCCACTTGAGCTCTAAAAACGTCTCACTAAATTGCTTGATATTTTTAAGAGCTTTAATTTGAAAGGTGTCTAAGAATGTAATCATCATTGTGTATTTGTCCATTTTTTTCTCAGTTTAACATTTTAATTTTATCTTGCTTCTATTAATTTCCTTTTATGTTTTTTCATTGCTCTTCCTTGATGGAAGAACAATCTTTGCTTTAATTAATAATTCCTTAGAAAAGGCAATGTTATATGCAAATTATTCTTATAATAAATCAATCTAAGAATAACATTGATATTTCATTCATAAATTATGTTTCAGTTTCTTAATATAATCATCAATTTATAGGCTAATTCTAATGTTAAGTATATAAAAAAATAATTTTGTATCATTTGTAGCCACTTCTTAGTGAAGTGTACATCCAGTGTTCTAGCCCAGATACACCAATATTTACACACAGGCTTTTGAAAATTACCATAAGTAAAATACCCTTGAGAATTTCAAATAAAAATGCTTCAGGATAGTCAAGTTGGTGATGCAAGGGCTGCTTTTCTCCCCTTATCAATAGATCTAGTAATTTCATAATAGAAAACTATCAAATTAGTGAGGAATGCTTTGCCCTTGATAGACTCATGCTGGCTGTTCGCTGACACTTTTTCGTCCTTCATGTGCTTGGACAGGGCTTCACGGAGGATTTGCTACATAACCTTCCCAGGGACTCAAGTGGAGCTGACTGGCCTGTAGTTTCTTGGATCTTCTTCCATTTCCTGAAAATGGATGTGACATTTCCTATCATCCAGTCATTAGGAATCTCCTCTGACTGTCATGACCTTTCAAAAATGAGCGAGTCCTCTCAATGACAAGAGACAGCTTTCTTCCTCTTGGATGCATCCTGTCTCATCCCATTTCCTCAGGTGCTCCCTGACATTAATTTCTTCTACAATGGGTATTATTTCACTCTCACAGACTCTGCTCACAAGCTCCAGCCAGGCACCTGGGAAGCCTTCAGACAAGCCTTAGCTGTAAAAACTGAGGCAAAAAAGTAATGGAGTAGCTTGTCCTTGAAGATTAACCAGTTCTCCTGGGCCCCTTTGTCCTCCAGGGCTGTCTACTGTGAGATCCTGTTAAAGAGATCTCTAAATTAGCCAAAATCTGCTAACAAGTTCAGGGTCTTTTTCTCCTATAGTTTGTCCAATTTTATGTCCAGATTTTGAATTTTCCATTTTCTCATTTTCATGGCTGCAGTAACCAAAGCCATTCAAGCTGACATTCACTCAAGTTCACATTCCTTCACCTGTTGAAGAACACATTCTCTAGACCACTTGTCACTCAGGTGGATCAAGAAATTGTCTTCAACATACTTTAGAAGTCTCCTGGATTGTTCATGCCCAGCCATATTTTCTGGCAGGCAGAAGTTAAAGTCTCTCATGAGTAACCAGGATAGGCAAGAGCAAAGCTTCCTTCAGCTGCCCAAAGGTTTCATCCACCATCTCTTCTTGATCAAGCAGATCAAACAGTCTGCAGAAAATCCCTACCATAATGTAATGCTCATAGGTCTGGCTTCTAATCATTACAAATAAGCTCTAGATTGACTTGTCACCTATTTCAGTGCAAAGCTCCATGCATTCAGGCGTGATTTTGCATAGAGTGCAGGCCATCCTCCCCTTTCTGGGCTGTCATGCTTAAATATTCTGGAACCTTTCATAGCACATGCAACTAACTGAAGGATTGCAATCTCTCTGCATCTCTGGAGTCCCAGTGAAATTGCAGCACTGTACCTGTGCATGGACTTCACTCCCTGCTGGTTGATTCCCAAGCTACAAGTGTGTTCAGACACTTGAGATAGACCCCTTTGTGCTGCTTTTGCATGGAAGGTTTCAGAGATTTTCCTCATCCCTATTCCCCCCAGCTTTCTCACCACTCCCTGGGCTTTCCCTCCTTTCCAGGCTATGGTTATCTTCCATCTACATACCTGTTTTTACTGATATATCTCCTCTTTCAAGTCCTTTGTTGCAGGAATATATTTCAAAAGCACAAACTTTCCTCTTTAGGATTGGTTGGTATTGAATTCCAGTGACTGGATGGTCCTTTTGCCTGATAACTGAAATAGGGAAAAAGTGATCACAAAATGGAAAAAGACACAGGCTCAACTATTAGATTTTCATATACAAGTACTGACTTTTTGCCTTTGCATTGTATTGACATTTATTGTGAAACATCATACTAGGAGATTAGTTCCCATTATATAAGAATGGAACAATATGAGTAATTCCCATTCTGCAGGTCAATAAAATATGGAAGCCTTATAATTACTGAAGTTTAATGTTCCACCTAGAGGGTAGAACTAAACAGAAAGCATTCTGTAAATTATACTATATTAAATTATATTACTGGTTAGAGAAATATACCAGAGTCCATGGAGAAAACTCACCAATGGTTTTAGATACCAGGATTGGCTAATAATAGTCTTGGTTTAGCAAAGTGTATTAACATGTGCCACCCTTCAATTGCGTGATAACTCCCTTGTGCTCTGTAGGACTGAATTCAGTATGTATCCTTTAAAATGATAAAATGACCATACTTTAAGGTAGTGACAGTAGCATCACATCTCTCAGTTCTACTTTGAGGCTTCCAAAGAAGATGAGATGTACAGAAACTATGATGATGATTTAAAGATGCTTACTTAGGATTTTTCTCTTGGTACATGCAAATATAATTTTAATATACTCCTGGATAAATTGATTTAAATCTGTTGTATAGAGAGAGTACTAATACAACTCTATGACTACTGACAATGTGAAATCAAAGAGAAATATGAAAGTGTGTTTTAATCTTGCAGAAAATTTAGAGGCATGTGTGATAGAAATACTCTTTTTTGAGTGATTTGTAGGATTCTGTCTGCTATACAAAATGAAATAAATGCCCTATACATTTCATTTAGATAGCAGTTCTTTTATCTTTTTAGTATATCTAAAAATATATGCTAGATTCCCTTATGTATTGCACAGTTTCACAGAAACTTTTTAAAGAAAATGCTCTCCAGAAATTTCTTGTGCATGTCCAGTTCCTCATGATGATGCAAGAAGTTTGAAAGCTAGATATGTTCTTAAAAATTTATTTTTGAAAGAGGGTATTGTGGATAGGTGCATTGTGTAAGCCAAGGCTCTGTGTGACAACTGCAAAAGAAAGAGTTACTCCAAACTGATATTTGGAAGATCAGTGAGCTGAAGGCAGAGATTTACAGTCTTACAAAAGCCTGCCATTCCTGTTTCAGAGGTACCCCTAGAGACTCAAGGTCTGCCTGGCAAGTAGAATTGCTGGCTGAAAAGCTGCTGTAGATGAAATGAGGTGAGCTGTTTACAACACCAGCCATCACAAAGATGTATATGGATTTGAATACCTGTACATTGTTTCTCTTTCCTATGAGGAAAACAAAAGTATGTCTTTCAACAGCACCCCCATGAAATTCAGAAACATGGTTTTCTTTGACATTTGCATAATACATTTTGACTTTTGTTTTTCTTAGTCTGAAATGCCATATCCTCATATAACTAACATTTGTTTTGGCAAAGTTTTGCGTTAGTGTCTCCAATGTTACCACTCATTTTATGAGCATTTCTTTTATTATAATCTGAGTTTTTTCCATGTTGGCTGATTTTGTCTTTTTAGATTTCCATATATTTATGCTGAAGTTTGGAACATAATTTTTTTGATATGCAAATAGCAAAGAAAAATTCTCCACTGACAAAAGACCTTTAACAATTATCATGTACCTTGTTAATATGAAATTTTCCCAGTCACACATGATGCTTCTGATTTAAAACCATAATATTACACTCTTTGCATTGACAATTTTTAGACTAAAACATATGAAGCAATGAGACATGTTTCTGAGACTATGGGGATGTACAAAAAGCTGCTGTCCTGTGAATAATTTGATAGCAGACAGACTTCATGAACATTTTTTATGGCAATCCCAAAAACATTTGCTCAGCACAGGTCCTGTGTACTTGGGTAACTAACACAAAGTGCTTAGAGGTGGCAGTATTGCATTTCATAATGCCGCATGTGAAGTTTCCTGGGGTGTATCAGACATCCTTTGTTGGAACAAGGAGCTAGTGAAGTGTAGGGGTCAGTTTTTATTCTCTCACACTATACCTTACAAGCATTTTAGCCTTCACATTGCACAACAGAGATAATCAGTTAAAATCAGTCCCTCTGAAAACTTCTGTCACATATTGTAGACATGATCACTGTCCATCAGGAATAAATGTCAGAAAGTGAGTTTGTCAGATTGTTTTGAAACAATGATACTGAGATTGCAAATGTCAAAATTAATTGGAAAAACCAGTATACAGAATTCCTGCAGAATTTAGCTATAACAAAACACAAGGATTTTTGATTGTCTGTGTGCTCCTTGAGTTTTAAGGAAGATATCTCTCCCAGAATGGAAAAAGAAGGCATGTGTTAAGATTCCCAGATCATTAAAAATGTCATATGACCAATAAAGGAAATCAGTATCTCTTCAAAATTATTGTGAGGCTTTGATCACAGTCTTCAAAAATGCAGTAAGAAAGGCTTACCTGTATCTTAAATTGTGCAGCCTTGCAGCAACATAGACATTAAAAAGACTCGGAGCTATCAGAGTATTTACCCCAGTCTCTTAATTCATTATCTATTTTATCAGATATGTTTGGAAGTATACTTCTCCAAGTTTTATTTTTCCCCCCTCATTTCTGTGGGATATCACACTGAAACACAAAGTAGCTTGGTCTTCTATGAAGAAGGATACTTTTGTACTTAATATGAATTAAACATTTCTATTTCAAAAAAGGCACCAGAAATAACACATACCTTTATATTCTAACACCTGGTTCTAATGCACATTGTTGGGTTTTTTTCATTAAATGTAATCTTATCTTTAATTTCTTAATATTTTTTATTATTATTTTACAACAGCATTCTTTTTACACTTCCTCTTTGCATTTTTATTCAGCATCCCCACTCTATATTGAAAGCATAAAGCCAGTTCCAAAAGTCAGTATGCACTCCTTAAGCAGTCAGCTTCTCAGTGGGAGTTCCCATCTTCTTCAAAATGCCTGCTTTTGCTGACTTGCAGAGCTGCATGACTACAACTAAATGTCTAACAGAGCAGAAGGTTCTAATTCTAGGTTCTGATTTTCTGTATGCTTTCATTTGTGGTGCTTGTGGTAATTGTTATTTATTCCAGTTAGAAATGTAGTTCAGTCAAATGAATAGTTTTCACTATGATATAAATCTGCAGATGGAAATTTAAGTAATTTCAGAGTACAGATACTTGATTTTACAGAGTGCTGTTGATTAACATTTTCCACTTACACAATTTGCTTTGTCTTAACTAATTTTTAGTATAAATAATTGTTTTGCAAAAGAGCTGATCAAAACCTAAAATTACATGACTAATTTTTCTAAGTCTTTCATTTTTTCAGATTATTTTAATAGTACTCTTCTAAACGATTATATTACTTGAGAAGCTTAAACTACACATTTCTGCTTTCAATGTTTTTTGATAGAGATCTGGTTTTCATTTCCAGCAGGCATGGTTTTTAAAGTCAATGACAAAAGCAGTCCAACAAACTTTCGCTGAAAAGTCATACTTGAAAAGTATGCACAAAGAAGTTCCAATTAGTTAAAAAAGTATGCTTTTGCAGTTACTTAAGATAACTTTACAATGTTACTGATTTCATACGGTGAAATATCTTGCATGATAGTGCTATTCCCCACTAATTTACAATACAAGAGCAGAGGAAAAACTGCAGCAGAATTGGACTATCAAACTTCAGAAAGTAGATAATTCTATTTCATATTGAACATCTTTTCTTTACAGTAATTTTCAGAAAACTTTAACTATGGCATTTTATGTCCTTTTCATTCTGTATTGTGCCCTTGTAACAAATTGGTCTGTTGTTTTTTGTGGGTTTTTTGCAAAGCTTCCCCAGTTTACAGTAAATGAGTTTAGCTCACTGCAGAAAATTCACAGACAAAGGTTTACCATACCTGGACTCTTGAAAAGTCTGTCACAAGATCATCTGTCTGGAAATTCCAGGTTGCATTCAGGTTTGTAGTTCACGTCTTTCTTTCATAATGTGAAGCAGAGGATCCTTTATATGACTGGCAGCATCCTGCATTCATGGTATACTGAGGTTGAGCAAGCACTGCAGCAGCCTTCCAGGGTTTTGAATTACATGACTACAGCTGTTTAAGTTTTACTAAGGAATAATAGCACTATAGGTTTGGATCACTTCCAGCAAACTGTCAGATCTATAAACAGCTAGTACTTACTGCATAATGAGAACAAGGCTTGCTTTTTGTAGCCATAAATAGACTAATTGTATGACATGATTAGTTGGGAGTTTATATCTGGAGCTTTAAAAATGCAGTTTTTACTAAGATGAAAAAATGAAAGCCACTCTGTGCTGGAAAAAAATACAAATTTATCGTTGATTTCCTGAGAAGGAAGTTAATTAAAAAGTGAACTTTTGTTGTAGTTTTACATTGGTTTACTATATAAATTGAAGTGGTATTTATAACTGCAACCTAAAAATAGTTATATTTTGGATTATTTTAATATCCTACTAAACTTGTAGTTTAGTTAGGATGGTAAAGATGCATGTCAAGAAAACCAAAGTTTTAGAATGCAGTACTATTTTAGAAACTTTCAAATACATACTGTACTTGAAACATATTCCAAAAGCAATATGAAATGCCAAACTGTAACGCAATAACTGTAGTCTCCTAATGTTTAGGTAAAGACTCACACATAAAATTCTTTATGCTCTGATAAGATTCTCCATATAACAAAATACATGTGAAATGTTAGAGTCTGAGGAATATAACAGTTTAATTTTCCATCTAATATAACCTTTTCAGAACAAAGGATGAGGCAGATGGGGAAATAGTCTTGTTCTGATTGTTCTTTAGTGAGCATCTGTTTCTTGTTCATGAGAGTCATACTGAGATTGCTGTGCAGTGACAGTGTGAAATTTGAAATGAGGACTGAGGTAGAGGAAAGTTAAGAACTACCTACCTCTGAGTAACTTTTCAAAATGCCAATAATTGGTTCAAGCATCATTCCTGCTTGTTTAGAAATGTCATCGTGAGCCATAGGGATCTGCCTCCAGAAAGCATGATCTAATAGTACTCAGGGAGAAGTGATCATGATCAAACAGGGAAAACCACAATCCTCCCCTGCCACAGGACAGTGGGTCTGCTTGCCAGCGTATTTGAAAGCCCTGAAAGGAATTCCACAGCTTTCTCCATTTTTGGATTCTGGAACAGTGCTTAGTGATTATGACCAAGTACTTAAGTGAACAGTTAAAACAAAAAAAATCATCAAATTGCATCACAGTCAGATAAAGGATTTTTAAAATATTTTTCCCCCTCTCACTGGATGAACTAAACCAAAAGGAAATTTTGTAAGGCCAGCATTTCAGAACTGGTTGGAAAACCATAGAGGAGTTATACTATTATCATTGAAATAATGCTTAAAATATTCTATAGAATGTGTATTTTTCATGTTTTCTAATGTTTCTTGGTTTTTTCTTTCATTTTAACATTACAGTTCTTTTTATATGAGTTGTTCTATTGCCTACTACTTCTGTAGGATTTGAATGTTTATTTAGAAAGCCCATCTGTAAAATGTGTGATTATGTTAAGGATTGTGGGAGTAGCAACTTAAGGATCAAAGCATTTAATTAGTTAATTAAAACACAGGCCGAAATGAGAGAATTAAGCAGACATTTTCTAGCCCATTGTTACAGAACAAGGCAATCTTTTCTTTGACTATTATGTTCATACATGATAATAATACTGGATAAATTGTAGGCATGGTGCTTTTTGTATAAAGTCACAGTAATTAAGATTTTATCCACATGGCACAGGCAGTAAATATTTTTGTTAATGAGTTTCAACGTATTTTCATAAAAATATAGAGAATCTCTTGTATCTAGCTGAAAAGGTACCCTGTTATACCATTGACATTCTCAGAGCCCCACCTAGAAAGCTTAAGTCTTTGTTCTGCTTCTGAAGCTGAACAGTATTGGCGGAAAATTTTCTGCTATTAGACAGAAAACTGGAAAGATCTGAGGGATAAGGCAATTGCATCTCATGCCCAGAATGTGTTACAGCATTCTGTCACTCGCTGTAGGTTACAACAGCTGTATAAGAGAACAAAAGCAACTGAGGAAAATAAATTTGTCCCTTATGTTTCTTGAAATCTGCTTTCCAGGAGTGTCAGAGAAGCCTACATGTAGACTTCACCAGTTTTCACCATCTGTGTTCCCCCTGCTCTGGCTCCATTGGGAGAACTCTCATTTTGGCAAATTCTGGCTTCTTCAGATGTATCAAGCAACAAAAAAGGGGCCATCACTTGGGGAGCAAATCTGAGCTATGTTCTTTATTTATTGAAGAAGAGATGATTGTTTACATTTCCTGAGTACAAACTTGTGTAAATGAAGAGTACTGTAAGTTACAAATGCTGTTATTTATTTTAGAAAAAATGCTAATTCAGGAATATATTAATATAAGTGCTTTTTTTTGGACACTGGAAAATTAAAATTTGGACACTGGAATCACGCCATCAGTGTAATGTGCCAAACATCTGAAAGGATGTCACAATTCATTTTATGGTTCTTGACAAACACAGAATACAAAAAAGATAGTCCCATGTGCCCCAGAGAGTACTTCCTCAATTCTGAATGTTGATTTTCAAATTTCTGGTCTCAGTGTATTGCCAATACTGGGATCACAAGAGTGTTCCTTCAAAATCCTTTCTGTGCTGCAGACAGCATTCTGCCTTGCAGGCTGAATTCCACAAATCCAATCAGCTCTGGGAGAAAGAATTTTAAAGTAGTGTATGTGTAGCAAAAAAGGCAAACCTGAATAAAAAAACCTGTGTATTCCTACTCTTCAGAATAAGAAATTATAGACAGATTAAATTAAATGAAATGAACTTTGATATTCTTGTAAACATTTCATCATTTCACTGCAATTATTTTCTAAATCTCTGGGGACAGATCTTTAGCTGTGGTTTGCTCCATGTTTGTTTTGTTGTACTTCCATTTCAGATCATAGTAAACTATTATGCAATCAAGAAAGAAACCCAAGACAGTCATTTACATATTAGACTGAGAACTCCTACAGATAAGGAATTATATTTTTCTTGTTTACCTAATTTTATTTACATTTATAATTTATTTTTGCATTCACTTCTGATATGTATATGCAAGAAAAGTAAGACATTTATAGAATGATTATACTGAGTCATGCAGGAAAAGTCTGTTTTGCAGAATTTGTAGGATCTAATATTCAATAAACCTCAAAATAGTCTCTCGCTATTAGTTTGAAAGATGAGGTTTGTTGGGGCAAAGACTACAGTATTAAACTCCATAAGTATCCTAACATTGATTCTTAGACCAAGCTGTTCACTCTCAAGCCACTCTATTAAACATTGAAATTCCAAGTGAGTTGAGAAAGCAATTGTTTTACTAAAATAAGCAAGAAATTTCATATTTCTATACCTTATCTGTGAGAGTACCTGAAGTTTCATGGAGAATCCATAGGAGCCTTAGAAAAGAGATTTAAGATTTTATTGTCCTAGAAATGAAGGAAAATAAGAGAAATACATATGATTGCAGTAAGATCTAAATGTTGATTAATTTTATTTGATTTTATCTGAGTGCATATTTCACACTGGAACTTTCTTAGTCTGATGCCTGAAATCCATTATCCAGTTTCAAGTTAAAAATCAGTTCAAGTGAAAAAGAAATTAGAAACAATCTGTGCAGGGGTATTATTATTAACTGCTTCCGCATAATTTGGTTTGGCTTGCATGGAGAAAAACACCAGATTTCTGCTATTTGTGGTATCAAATGTCTATGTTAAGCAAACAGTGGCTTTCCAGATAGAGATTAAAAGTCCCTTAGACTGTATTTAACATTATGCAATCCTTCCTGAATTCCAGAAAAAGGCATGCTATTTCTGTCAGGATTGCTGAGTTTGATCTGCTCTACCTTCTATCTACAATCTCTCCTTTTGAGAATTGGATTTTCACTTTATTTTAGGCATCTAAGATAAGGTAGTGCCTAGAAAATTAATTTAATATACCTATATAGCAATTAGAGAGTGGGAGAGGTCTCCAGAGGTGATTCAGACTTGTCTTGGGATCTTGCTCTTTGCTATACAAACATCCAAGGATTCATATTTTGCTGTTGTTGTGCTGCTTAGGAGCCAGCAAGCAAGACACCTGTTGCAGTTAAGTAAACTCTTGCTTGAACGACTTGGTCATGCTACATTAAAGCAATTGGTGCCTCTTGACCAGCAGAAAGCACAGGCTTCCCAATACATCCCTTAGGCAGTTGTTTGCGTGATACCATTAAACTACTCCTTTCATATTGAAGGTTTTGGGATGAGGGAATGAGACAGGATTATGTCACATTGCATATATCAATAGTGAGTACAAAACTAGAATCTGGACTACTGAATTTAATATTCTGTCCTGAGAACTACCACACATCTTTCCCTACTGCCATTTATCTTCTGATCACTACCAGTAGAAAAGAGGATTGATTGCCTTTGCCATAGTAGCCCTACCCTGCACCTGGTTGTTTGGCAATCATTTGGGGTGGGCAAATCCAACCTATCCATGCTAATGGTGAGGTCTGCAGTACTATCTGCAGATCCTCACTGATGTGTTGCCCACATCAACCACATTCCCAACATCACTGTGTCCTTTTGTCCAGCAGACATGTCTCAGTTGGACGTGGTGTGAGAGCCTGGAGTTCACCAACAGGCTCTACATGCTCTGACCAGCTTGTGGTTATAAGATGGTTCTTCATAATCCTTTTCTGACACCTCCTCTGCAGCCTCACAAGATTCTGCCCTTTTTCCTTCTACATCTGCTTCTAGAGTATAGCTGTTCCTGGAGAAGCCTGATCTAGGGTAACACAGCTGCACAATATCAGTCCCCGCCTTGAGCATAGCCAGCTGTCAGAGGGATGGAACTTGATGGGATTTATATCACCACGCATTACCTGTAAAATATTTCCCCCATTTATTTTGATGGTAGGGTTTTCATTCTGTTATTTTGCAGGCTGTTACAGACCCACTGTAGAAAAACAAATATGCTACACTTGTCCTGAACTCAAAACACACAGATCATTTGCATTCACAGTGCCCAAAGTGCCAGTGTGTGTTACGAGCCACACCGTATTGTCTGCCTGTGTGTCTGTCTTTGAGATCTGCACAAACACTTTAAGAATACATTTGACAGACATGAAGCCAGTTTCCCTCTAGGGCTGGCATCCCTCTGCACAAGGGAAAATTTGCAGAGTGCCACAGTCCTCTAAGAAAAGACATTTAACATCACAGCATTTAAAACAATTGACAAAGAATCTGTTTAAAAAGCCACTTCAGCTTGAAAATAGAGCAAGCCAACCTGGGCATAAGATAAAAGATGAGGCATTATGCCAGAATAGAAAAGACAGTCTGCCTTGGTTATAACTTAAAGTCATTAAAAAACGTCTCACATGCAAAAGGAACCCAAACATAAATTTTCAGAAAGAGGAGCCAGAAACCCAAGGTGTGAATCTCCTAACTCAATGTAAGATAGAAGTCAAGCGGGCTTGATTCTAGTTTCCAGTGATAATTAGAGTGGGGACCAGTCATGTGCTACAAGGGCAAGACTAGAAGTGCAAGTACTGGGAGCATCTCCTGGTGCACTGTTACTGTACTCAGGTATAATTGGTGATGGGTTGGCTTGCTTTTCTGTGACCATCTCCTGTCTGCTAGTGAAGTCCACTGTCAGGCATTTATACCCAAAGAAAAGCCTCTGCCTTACAGTACTGCCCCTTAGGCAAGGCAACTAAGCACATCAGGCTTCTGCAGCAGCTGGAGAGGAGGGGCACTTTTTTTCTATGGATGTTTGCAAATGAATTCCTGAGGCTGTAGTCTGAGCTGCACAGTATAGAACCATATAATCATTAAGGCTGGAAAAGACCTCTAAGACCCCCAAGTTCAACCATCAACTGTTATATTACACAATTTCAAAGCCCTGGAAAACAATAAGATTGCTACATGCAAATATCAGGGACACTACTTCATAGGGAGGAATTGTTCACATCTATATTTTCTGTAGAAGCTAAAAATAAACTGTCATTTACATAGCATTTATATGTCAAAAGAAACATTTTGTATGCCTGAGAGTAAACTGACATCTACTGAATTTAAGCAGTTAAAGAATTGTCTCCCTGGACTGATAAAAGGAGTAAATTGAATTGACAGATCCATCAGTCCATTTTTAATTTCATTGAATATTGTTGCACTGCTAGAGTACACAGAGTTGTGGTCCTGGATGAAGGAGTGTGTAGAAGAGCTTGATATTATTGTGACTGCAGAGAACCTTTCCTTGTAGCCTCTCTGAATCTAACACACATTTTACTGTGGATCTAGAAAGAAACAATGAAGATATTTTATTACATTCCGAACTTCCTTCAAACTGAATTTCAGTATCTACCACAGGTGAGTAAATCATAAGATTGGGAAAACAAAGGTAGAATAATGAGACAGTAGCATTCACTGCCACTTCCATAAATGGTGTCAGCTGTAGGAAATGTTGATCCTGACTCTTGCTTTTTTTAGATTACACATTTTTTTAGCAGGTCCTTTGCATTATGTTGTTCGAATTTCAGAATAACTTGTAGACCTCATGGATCTGTTTTTCTTTTACCAAGATTAATGCATTTCTTGTTTTAGGGCATCTAGGAGCCTATGGTAAGATGTTAAAGCATTGAAAAGATCTCAAGCTTTCCCTGTACTGTTTTTGTTAGGCTTGCTAATTTCTTGTGTAAATTTGAGCTGGTGTCTTCAGAAATACTGCCAATGGCTTGCAATTGGATTCAAGATGTGCTAATCAGCAAAATGTTAACTCTTACAGACAGATATATTTAAGTTAGAAACTGAAAAGAAACTGTACTTTTCGAGAAACTTTAAGATGTTAGAACTGAGTTATCCTCTCAAGTATCTTCAAAGAAGAAAGAATCAGTTCAAGAGAAGTTCTAACCATAAGAATTTTTGTACAACTATTGTCTAATTATAAATTATAATTGTCTATTATAAATCTTGCTCACTTGCAATCACTGTCAGAAAACTTCAGTTGTCTTCTTTTTTCATTGGTATGTTTGAATTATGGTCTTCTAGTTTGTAAATGGGAGCATTTCATTTCATTCAGTGGTAAAGCAACTATAATATATGGGGACAGCATTCTACTACTGATTTTTTATTTTTACAATTCTTTCAGATAATTGGAAATAAGTCTTTCAGCTGATTTCAGTGGGTATTTGGATCATGCTGTTAATGAATGTCAGATGTGTTACTTGCATCTTAAATATTTCAACACTGAATAACCAAAACACTGATTTAAGTTTCAAGTTGATGAGTAAATGTTGCCCATACATCAGGCACATTCATGTGGCTGATTGCCAGAAGATTACAGAAGATGGTGTTAAGATGATTTCATCATTGAAGCATATTCTTGTACTGCATATGGCAGACTGCACAATGTACTAGATCACATCAGATTTCTGCAACCATTGCAAAGGGATTGTACTGAAGTTAATTTTACTTTTAATAAGTCCTGTTAACACATCTTTCAGTTCTAAAAAAAAATCTTAAAGTACAAATATAGATATATTAATATTTTGAAAAAAATATTTTACACAGATAGCTTTTGTTCCTGTATAATGATTTCAAAAATCCATTCATTGTTATTCCAGTTCAAACAAAATAAAAAATAGCAGTAGATGTAGTGTCACTTAATAGCCATGGCATATTATAGTGCTGGAATGTGGCTATGGATAAGAAAATGATAACCAAAGACAATTCCATTGTCACAATTCTCTTGAAACTTGGATATTATTTAATTTTGTGAACAATTATCAAAAAAACATTGTAATGTATGGTATAGAGGAAGAATATATTTTCTATAAAGACTTGTTTTCCACTTCAGGTGCATCATATATCAGTAGAAACAAAGACAAATGGAAGGAGTTTCAAAGCTGCACATTTGATCCCTGTTTTGTGGCACAGTGATAGAGTCAAGGGTGAGAGAGAACAGGGAAGGCAAAGCTTACTAACATTTCAAAATCAAAAGATCTATAAAATAATACAAAGGAGTTGGAATTCTTGTTGATCCTAAAGTTTCTGACACCATGAGAAGTTTTAGGGATTCTGCTTTAAAGTGTAACAGAAGCTTTTTTTTGTGCCTGTTGGTGTATAAAAATGTGATAATATTGCCTGTAGGAGTGCTGAAAATGCTGGAGCAATTCCACCTTATCCTGTTGGTACTTTAGCTGGGCAGGTGGGACAGCTGCCTGCATTTTCTGCTTTAGCATTTAGCAGGCTGGGTTTTCCAGTTTGTCAGCCAAATCATGGACTGTGAGTGTGTTTGCACATGTCTACTGCTTCTACTACTAAAGAAAGGCTGGATTATCCTAACAAAGCTTTTTTAAGCACTAGTAAAGGTATTGTAGAAATCCACACTTTTATCACTTTTCCAGATGCTTTCAAATGTTTCAGCATTAGAAAAGTTACAGATTTTAACACATTTAAACTTGTCTGGTGGGTTGACCCTGGGCTCCAGGTGCCCACCAAAGCTGCTCTACCACTTCAGTGGACAGGACAAAGAAAATACTGCAAAGAGATTTTGGGTTGAGATAAGGACAGTGAGAGATCAGTCATTACCATCACAGGCAAAATAGACTTGACCTGGAGGAAAAAAATAATTTGTTGCCAGTCAGATCAGAGAAATAAAACCAATCTTTAAACACCTTCACCCCATCCCTTCCTTATTCCTGGGCTCAGCTTCACCTTTGAATTCTCTGCCTCCCCCCCTCAGTGGCACAGGGGAACGGGGCTTCCAAATCTACCAAATCAGAATTCATAAATTATAGGAAATGACTACATATGAAAACTGAAAAAAAAAAAAAAAAAGAGATCATGATTTTTAGAATTAAGAGATGTGAGTAAAAACATGTCTAAAAATCGACACAGGCAATGTAGGGGCTCATCTCCCTGGTGCATTATTCCAGTTTAGGAACAATGGCATTCTTGTCCTCATGCATGATAAAGCAGTGTATGCCCTGTATTGTTACACAGTTGATCAGCTGTGTATTCATGTCTTGATTATTTAAAAAGTTATGATGTGGCCATTTCAGCCGTCAAGCTCAGTGTGGTTACAGAATATTTACTTTTTAAATTCAGTTGACTCTGTTGCCAGGCTCAGCATTCCTTATGGACTTTCATAAAAAGTTATTCTGAAGTTGCATTTCTTAAATTTGTCTGTCCTCTTGAGTGAAAAACAACTGCACTGTGAAATAACACCCAAACTGCCGCAGTGGCTGAATTATTGCAAGGTGACTTTATGAAGACAGCTTCTTCTGTAGGCTGTGGTCACACAATGAGGCCCTGTGCAGGTTATCAGTTTATTAGTAGTGCTGGGACTTTGGGATTTGCAGCAATTCTTTGTGCTGCAAAATGCTATACAAGCCAAAATATGATTCTGTCCTACAGAATTCTGGGATTAATTTTTTATTCACCAGGGAACACAAACGAAATACTAGGAATGCTCTGAAAACCTAATTGTACAGTAATGTTAAACATACCAGAGATCTGAACTTTATTGAAACACCCAAGCTGTAGTCAGGTCTCCAAATCTCTCAACTTGGCTGAAAGGTTTTCTATCTACTTCATTTTTATAACCTCTGTGTATAAGTTAGCCATGTGCAAGATATGCAATTGATTAAGTGAAACACTCTGAGGAAGGTTAACTCTTCATGCAGGGTACAGAACAGCTACTGCACACAAATGCTGCTGATAACTTTTGCTGCTGCTGTGTTAGAATATCATTCTTCCTTAAAATCATTTCTGTTCCTTGAATTTAAAAAAATATATTAGTACAAATAGTACCCAGAAATGTTTAAATAGGTTCTGATTCTTTCTAGATTTGTTTCCCAAGCTTTGTCTTCTGGAGTGGCAATCATTTCTGAGTGCTGGAACTAATGGAAATTCTCATTATCTCCAACAGACTTTTCTGAAAAGCTCAGTCTTTCAGCCATTCTAAAGAGCATAATCTTTCTAATTAAGCTATTCATTATTCTGACTCTTTTGGGGGTTTAAAGAGCTAGTTTAAAAATACCATCATTAATTTTTGCTTATCTTCAATGTTGGCTGCTGAATGCAAATTGAATATTGACTAGTACAGATTAGGAAAAGTAGTGATTATAAATATTGCCTATATTTCTCTCTTAGGGTCAGTGATGGAGTGTAAGTACTGAGTGTAAGGCCTTTTGTACAAGGTTCTTCAGGAGGTAAGCTAAGAGAGCTGAGTGTTAGCTCCAACAGAGGCACTGCTCTCCATTGTGGTCTAGAAAACAATTGCCAATGAAAGAATAACTAACAAAGTATCTTCAATATGTCAAGCTGCTAAAACTGGAAAAAAAAAAAAAAAAAAA